GAGGAATATTAAGGAAAATGTGAAAGAGAAGAAAAGTTTATGAAAGGGTTCAAAGTGAAAGATGCAAACTAGTAAGGTTTCTCGATTTAAACAATATGGTGTTTCTGCTCTTCGACAATGCATCACGAAATTGTAAATAAATGTTCTGTAAAAGGAAGAATTCGAAGAACTATATATATATTTACTTACAATGACTTATCGCACTGTGTGTGTCTGTCTGTCTGTGCTTGGGTGCTTGGTCGAGCGTGTGTGTGTGTGTGTGGGCGCACGCGCGCGCGTACCGCCAACCTCAAAAATGAAAATTCATAATGAAAATTTTATATTTCAGAATATTTCATATTTCAGAATACGCCAGGGCTTAGATCAGATAGTATTTGTGAAGACCAGCTCACTCGTGGACTGTCGAGAGTAGCCGAAATATTAGGATTAATAAATACTATTACTACATTTTTTTTTTCGTTTATAAGAAATTTCGTTTACTTTTAACTAACCATATAATAACAAGAAAAATATTTATAATTTTTGAGTTATTCGGAAATCTAATTTTACCACCTTTCGTAACTTTTTTCCCAGCTTCTTTTCTTTAAAGTATGTTATGTAGATTAATTTAAAAAGCATTGAAGAGAAATGTGCACCCAAGTTTCATTGAAATCGTACCGATTTCATTCTATTAGCTACTACAGTCTATAGCTACACATATTTGTCAGCCGCCATCTGGAAAGAAAAAGACAGATAGTAATTCTGATTTAGGAGGATTATTCTCACCTGGCCTTTAACTTTAAATCCAAATTTGGAAAAAAAATCGGTCCAATTGTTTTGGAGAAAATCGCTGCGGACGTCGGACGGACAAATAAATTTATATTCGATTTTCGAATTCTACGTATCCTGATATTTGAACCTCGAATTTTGAGAGGAGGAGAATTTAATTAAATTAATTTTTCCGCTGAATTTTTTGATCGATTACAATGGTTCATTATTAAAAATAATAAACCAAAATGGCCCATGTAATTAGACCACTTTTTTATCTCCACACTCTAGTGGAACAAAAAAAACTTAATGGTATCCTAATAAAATAAAACACTGTCAGAAAAGGACAGTGTCGATAGACATTTGAATTTAACAGATTATATATCTTGTAGAAACATAACTATAACATTTACTTTCGCTTACCTATATACGAAATTATAGTTTCTACACAAAAGAGTGGTTGATGAGTTCACATCAGTATCTTTAAGACATTAATCATGTAAAAAATAAAAGTCTGCCAAGTAAGGTCGCTACACTTTTTGTTTTTCCTCGCCGTTTGCATTGGCTAAAAAATATCTTTATTACATGGTCTAAATTTTTTTGTATTAGAATAAAACCTCTGGGAGAAGCCGTTTTCGGAAATTCAGTAATCCTATCAGCCTAATCGAACCAGCACTTTCTGAAAGATTGGCATATCAAAAAAATACGTTTGCAAGTGCGTAAGCGGAAGTGCTGGATGGAATTTGATAAAACTGATATAGGACCATCTAGGCATCCAGGCACCAATCCCTGAAAATTGTATGAAAATCGGATAAATGGTACTAGGCGATAGCTCATCACATCGATTTGACTACAAACAGACCGACTGGCAGACACCGAACCAAATTTGATCCATGATTTCTGAAACATAAAACGCCAGTGGGTATTTTCATTTCTGAGCACAACATTTTTTTTAACCTCTTTAACTTTAATTCACTTACTTAAAATTTTCTTTATTAAATATTAGCAATTTTACTTTATACTATGAAAATAGGAATCAATTTTGAACACTAATATATTAATTCATTTTATGATTCACCTGGTAAATGTTACAACCAAATAAATCAGTTTTCTTTCGAATATATTCGAAACAAATCTATTGATAAGAAATTAAGATTTGCATCTTTATGTCAATTAATTTGAGAGATCTTTGAAAATAAAGTCTTTTGCCAAAAGTGGGCAACAGTAAGAAATTATTTGATATTTTCATGAATTAAAACAAGACATTTTTAAAATAAATTTGGTTTATTGAATTTCAAGAAAATTGTAGAGGTTTACAAATAGAATTTAATTACTAATTATGATAGCTAGCCTAATATAACTGATAAGCAGCTACCATTAAAGAGGTAATTGAGTAAGTTACCGCTAGATAGGGTGACCTGTTGGAAAACCTTAATCTCTCAAGTTCGATAAGCTCTTTTTAAAACTTGTTGGGATGTAAAAGATCTCCTGCGGTCTAAGAAAGCCAGGGTAAAAAAATGAAGTAATAATTTCCCATACTTATTACTTCTGTTCTAAAAAAAAAAGAAGTGGTCTACTTTTGAAAAAAATAAAGTATAAAATAGTACCTACTTATTCTTATCTATTGAACATTGCTTCAGTGAAATAATTTTGAAAGCATACTGTATCTAGCAGTATTTTCAAATAAATGTAAACCATTGCGATGGTAGTTTATAACGATGGTTTTCTTCTAAAACCATATTAATCCATAAAACCAAATTTCACTAAAAAAGGCTATATTTCTGATGAAAACCAAAATTCGCTGTTAGCAAACACCAGGCTGTTACAAAATGTTGATCAAGAATACTATCAACTCAATTTTAAGACAACTTTTAATCAGGCTATGATTAAATCCTGCATTCTTTATCTGAAAGAAACAGTTAACCTACAAATAACCATACCCTCACTTTTGAGTAATCTCATTTATTTTTCATATTAATTACATGAGTAAAATAATAAAATCTCCATAATGAAACCTATATAAATTTCCAAATGATGAACGGAGATTAAATGCCTGTGTCAAGGCAAAAGGGGGACATTTTGAGTCATTTCTGTTTTTTTTAACTCTCTATAGATATACATTTTATTTTATTTTTTTTTTTATTTTATTGAAATATATTACAATCTGTCTCAGGGACATTAATAATAGTGTTCACAGATCACATTCACACTCTATGTATAGTAAATAAATTTTCTAATAAAGTTTTTGAAAAAATTAATTTTTCTGTTGAAATTTGTATATATTTCCTTGTAACAATATTTATGGCAGGACTAGGTATAATCATTTGTTTGTTTTTAATGTTCACTCATAAATATTAACTGTTGCAAGAGACACAGCATGATCAAGGCAACAGCCTTTCCTTTTTTTAATAGTGATTGTTACCTGATGACATAATTAAACCAGATAAGAATCCGGCAGAATCGTAGTCTAACCGTCCATTAAGTGGTTGCATTAATCATCAATGCGTAGGAGAGAAGGTATCATAGACACAACACCCTCTTGTTGAACCATTGATTAAGAAAATATTTCCATCTCCATTTCTGAAACGTAGACATATCATAAGCTGTAGTTGTAGGGGCGGTGTGTTCTTGTTCTTCTTCAGCGCCGCCGCACAATATTTTAGAAGCAGAAACGAAACTTGAACTAACGTATTTCAACAATTTTTTTTTTGTTTTTCCTGCTTTTCTAATTATCTCTAGACCACTATCTATTTTTAGTTTCCAACTATTTAGTCTCAAAATACAAATTAAATAGTAATCTTGAACAATTACTATATTATATATTAATTATATTTCATTTAAATTAAAATGAACACAATATAGAATAAACTGGAATTGGTGTGGGATTTCATTACAACGGTTAGTAAGTCAATGTGGGAAATGGCGGAGAAATAAAAGCCATCATTATTGAATGATGACTCAGGAGCAAAGTTGGAAGAGGAGGTTAGAGAAGAGGTAGAGGAGAAAGAAATAAAATGTGAATTTAAATCGTTAGGTGAAACGGGAAAGACTAGTGAGAAAGGAGATCTGGAAGGTTCACAGTTTGCGAAGGATTAGCCATTTAGATTTGGGATCTAGAGCAGATGAAAGAGCTTCATGGAAGCTTATGGTGGAAGTTTATGGTAGTTTTAGTTCGCCGAATCCTTCTTTGTATCAAGTTGCGGTGCACCCTAAACTCTTGATAGTTATCTGTAAGCCTCGTACGTGTAAAGCGTCTACGGACAGCATCACGCCTCTTCTGCAAAATCCTTAATTTCTTGGCACATCCAAGGTGCAGGCCGGCAAGGTGCAGATTAAGGTTTTTATGGGATCATTGGTGTTAAGGATACTGAGGAGATTGGAAGTCAGGATGTCAACCATGGAATCGATGGAGGAGCAGGAATACATTCCGTTCAAGTCTAAGGTTTCAAGGTCAGGTAGTATTTTTTCACGGTTTAGAGTATCTATCAGACGGAAAGTGAAGGTTCTCGGATGAATCAGTGGGGTTTGGATATTATATGTTAATAGGATCAGGTCATGAGACGATAAGAAGAATACTGGCAGTTGAGAAGAGGAGAGGAGATTTTGTTCGGAGTCTATAATGAAGAAATCTATAATGAAAAAATGTCAAGCATAAGGTAAACTGTTCATTAACGTCTCTATTTAATAAAATATTCTTTTAAGTTTCATCCATTCTGAAATCAAAGTATTTTTTTTGTTGGAAATTTTGGACTTTTTCGCTCGGCTGCCATTTTTAAAATCAGCGGCTTTGGAATGGCAAACAAGGCTTCTTTTATTTATATTGGCTTAAAATGACCTATGTATCAGATCAGTTTCCTCTAAACAACCCTTTGCTTGTTTGCTTTATAGTTCTGCATCCTGTTTACCTTTCCAAGCCCTATCTCACGTGAACTTTATTCGACCTTAAAACGGAACTTTTTTTGCTGAATAAAGAGTAGTTTAGGGACTCAATATGAGTTCACTCAAAACTAAAAGACTTTCCCCGAATTTTTCCATAGAGGTAATTTATATGAATCATAAACGATTTTAAGAAAGTTTTTCGTAAGGATCTCTTTGAAGTCCCGGCAAACATTATAACCTTCAGCTGAGACATCCTTTGATGTTAATATTATTAAACTGAAATGTCATTGCTGTGTGTGATTACCTTTTAAAGCAGGCTATTTCGCAACTCCTTGTCCTTAGTGAAGTAAATTTAAAATACAAATCAATAAAGTATGACTCAAGAAAATGATGACTTGGGTAACTAAGTTTTAAAAATGTTTTCTTGAACATTAAATGATAAAATTTTCTTGATGATTATCTATTTTAATGTTTTTTACAGTCCTTCTTGAAAGAGTATTTCTTGGCATTGTTATGTCTGAAACAGATGGACAGTTTGAAAGTATAATAAATAAAGTTTTACTGTCAGTTATACAAAAACTATCAAGCCCTAATGAAAGTGTGAAGAATAAGGTATGCATGAATAGATTATTGTATTATCCTCTTCTCTTTCACAGTGTTTTGAAGGGACATACTATGGTTTAGAAATTTAAAATTTAAATCAGAAATTATTTCAGTAACTTATTAGTTAAGACAACTGTTTTCATGTTTTTAGTTGCCTTTCAAAATTATAATTCAAGTTTTTGTTCAAAGGTAATAGAATTATTGTCACATGTATCAAAGAGAACAAAGGCTGCAAAGTCCGTGCAGTTACCTGTAGAAACCTTAGTGGCTTACTATGGAGACTCTAATGCTTCGGCATTCATTGTTGTAAGTCACGTAATTTGCTTTCTTGTTTTTCATCATACTTATTTAAACTTCATCTATATCCCATAATTTTGTTTTCCATTTTCTAGAATTTCACTATTATTTATATCAAGATTGGGTTTCCTCGTCTCCCAAAAGATAAAAAATTTGAATTGCTTCCTCAATTAATGTCTGCAGTAAATAATAAGCCCCTTCAACATCAAGAAAGGTAAAATATCTTCATTATTTTTTAGGATTTTATGTAATATACCAAAAATATTGTTAATACGCACTCATTGTTTTTCCTATTAATTTCTACATAAAATTAAAGTTTATTGCCTTGAGGTAAAGTTTATTTCTTTAACAATAATATTAAAGTAGGTTTTGTACCGATTGGATTTTTGTTAATTTTTATACCAATAAATATCTTAGCATTTTCAGCCTATATTTAATAATAGAAGTGATTATAAAGCACATACAACATTTTTTTATCAAGCCAAGTGTGTTATTCTTGCAAAATAGGACATTTTACTAAACTCACTGCTTAGTTCATTGATGCCATTAAATTCATCTCTAAACTAAATGAAATGAATATTGTCGATGATCTTAGCGCTAAGTTTTGGAACATGGCCCTAATGTAGTAACCATGTTTATTTTTCCAAATTTAAGCATTGACCATCCTAAGATATATATATACATAAATATCGGTTCATATAATTAGATGCAAATAATAATGTAATTTCACTCGCATTGTGAAATTGATCTCTGTAATAAGAGATAAAAAAAATACATATAGTGAGACGTTATAAAAAATATTATAGTGGAACTTTTCAACCCTTCAAATTAGTTCCAAATTAGATGTAAATATGTATATTTCTTTTGAAATAAATATTTTTTATACATTTTTTCCTTACATCTAATCAAGGGCGCCATAAATAGAGACAATTGTTCATCTAAGGAGGTCCAAGATAATAAGGGTTATTCTAAATGTCGAAATACTTACAACCAACCTGTTGATGGTTATCAACTGTTTTTTTTTAGAAATTTTTTTTTTTTTTTTAATTTCTCCGTGTAGGAAGAGGACGAGGACACCTGCCCCTTCCTCTAGAGAGATCTGCATATCTAAATTAAATATTTATATTTTTATGCTTACCTTTTTTTGTACTGATGTTTGTAGTACTTTTTAAAAAAAAACGGGCAACAGACTGTTTAAATATCTTAAACTTTATTTTTAATTGTTTTTATTATATAAAATCAATTTTTTAAAGTTTTTACTTTTATCAGTTAATCATATTTTTCTAATTTAACTTCAATTTTATCTTTTTTCAGCCTCTTAGTACTACTTATTGCATCAACTAAAGATTACGTGTATCCAAGAGATGAAAATGAAGGAAAGAATTTATTTAATCTGGGGGACAAGGAACATTTGAAGAAACTATTGCTGTCAATCCTCATGGATATATTTATGTTTCCATATGGGTTAGTGAAGTTGTATTGTATTATATTCCAAATGCTGGAAAATATTTTCTTTAAAAAACATTTATGTAGTAGTTTTCAAATTAGTCTATAAATTTGACCTAGTTATCATTGCGACAAATGCATTGTGTTAGTCATTTTTATTTTAATCATTAGGTTACGCTACTATAAATTTTACTTGAGAAATCATTGATCATTAGGATTTTTTTAAAAAAAATTGTTTATTGATATTATTGAGTAATAGTATTTAATTTAATAGTAACTACACAAATATTTTAATAAGCGTGCCGATTATTACATTAGTAATGACTACTACAATGTTTACTGGGAGCTGTACTAGCGTGATTGGCTAGTTTTCAAGATTAATTGATGTTTATGGTTTCTGATCAGTCCAAGTGTAACGTTTTTAAGCCTAAAGTCTTCCACAATAAATGGCATATCTAACACAAAAATCTTTTTACAAATTGAAATGTTATTTTCTGAAATTAGCTCATTCTAACTAACCAATTGTGCAATATCCGTATTCTTTAAGCTTTTTTCATTTGAATTTTGGAGGTTATTCATTTAATGAATAACTAGTAGGCCCGTGCGAAAAATTCGCACAGCATATTGTTATCAAATGCCAAATTAATAAGAAAATAAAATAATGCAACGTATCAAAAGATAAAGAAATCAATTGTTACTTTATCCATAAATATAATCTACAGAGGAAACAAAATTAATTTAAATCTTCATTTTTGTTTGGAACCAACATATTTACAAATTTCACTAAGCTGTATCTTTGCGAAAAATTGTCCTTTTTAGTTATTCGCAAATAAAGTTTATTTTTTTTCATAACTTGTTTGCCTGAATTTTCGGGGTAGTTGTAATATTTTTCCCGCCTGAAGGAGAAGGAAGCCTTCGAAATTGGTGGCTCAATCTTGAGATTTGGTGAAAAATTAACGACGATATGGCTTACCGGTCTAAAACATCATCGATAAATAATATAAACTCCTCCTGTCTCGATCATAGAGACCTCAAGTCGACGAAATTAGACATGTATCCAACAACAGTACTACAATTAACGTCAGGTTGTGGGGATGCGAATCCCATGCCTTACGTTATCTCGAAAATGGTATGTTTTTGGGCTTAAAAACGCAAGATCCGATAGTTCGGGAGGAACTATCTGGGTTCTTGCTGTACGCATCAAAATCTTCAAGGTCCAATTTGTCCCGCATCGATCTACAGACCTACCACCGTTCCAGTATTGAAGCCTAGCAAAATGTTTGTATTGACTTTATTTATTTTAGAAAGAAAAACAAAAGCGGAGAATACGATTCGCTAACCCTCCGTGAAATTCTGAATCCAACGGTACCCCATTCATGGTATTTGAGCATGACAGGAGCTTATATTTGGTACAAAACCGATTTTGAGCCTTACTGTAATAATATATGTACGGATTTGGACATGTATTCATCATGCATATGAAATAGGCATTTATAAACCAATTATAATTATTTTAATTGTATGATGGTTATTTTAAAAGTTGCCATTTATATTATTATTGTTTTTTTGTTTAGTTTTCTTGAAAAATTATCTTTCGTTATTTTTTAAGTTACTGGTCTAAGTTAATTTAAAATTCATGAAATCACTTCCATTTAAATATTTAATTTACTAGTGATTATTTTTTCTTTCAATCTTTTCTGGAATGTGATTTGCTCACCTCAGTTGTGAGACTTTTTTGATTGATCACATCTCATAAAATGATTTCTTAATACCATGTTTATCGTTTCTTTTTTAGCTGTGTTAGTGAACAAAATCTCACTGATATTTCGCAGTATTCGTATAGAAGACTGACTCAAGATGGCTTTTTGGATATGTCAGCTGATGCAATGGAAAAGGTTTGTTTTATATTAGAAATTGATAAATTTTATTAATCTATCATGATTAAAAAAATATTAAAAGTATTAAAAAAACACTCAACTGGATTATATGTTTATATATATAGCTTATATGAGCTACAAATTTCGATACTTATTTAGTAGTGGGTAGCGTCAAAACCTCCCTTCTTATCTAATCTCATTTCACATAACCTCCCTTATCTCATCTAATCTAAGTTATTCCCTTGTTTATTTTTTGTTTCTTGTGTTAGCTGTGAGTTAGTGTTATTTGATTATGGATGTTGTCACATTTTGGGAATTGTCGTCTTCAGAAGAAAAGGCTATAAAATATTTTCAAGACGCCGGGATATTTGCAAAGGTTAAATATTGTGATGAAGGTCATAAAATGAAATTCGACAGGGAGATTAAATGGAGATGTTTTCGTAGTTGTAACAAAACTGTTTCTATAAGAAAAGGAATGTGGTTAGAGGATTTCTTTTTTAACGGCTTTAAAATTCATTTATGGGTGGTCCCATAATTTAACAACAATACAGTATTTATGCGAGTTTTTGTGGCGGCGGGCGCATAGAGAACAGGATCCCTTCTTCACTATTTTAAATACCACAAAACTATTTTCCCTACCAACTTAAATAAAGTTAAAATAAAATTTTTCATATTTTGTTTATATCGTTTCTTCATAGTGTTTCTTTTATATATACATATGCTCTTTAAGTAGTTTTTTATTATTTCATATATTTTTTGCCTATTTTTATTATTTCATTTATTTTGATATATATGTTGCAATGTTTTTTAATTATAGATTTATGATGTTTTGGTGTATTTTATTATATATATTGTAAAATAAAAGTATTTTTTTATTATTACACTTGTTTTTGTTCACAATTTCAATAATATCAATACAGTACAATAAATATGAATACGAAGATATAATAATATGAATATTATACAATAAAAATGAATACGAAGAGCTTATCAGTGTTAAGGTTATAAACATTGGCAGATAGCAGTCGGACGCTACCCGCTACTAAATAAGTACCCAAATTTCTAATTTGTTGAAGTAATAGTAATTATTACATCATATATTGGATGAAGAGCTTTACTTGCTATATGTTTTCCTCTTCAAAAATCTAACTGAACACTAATTGTAGAAGTCATAATAAGAGGTGTATCACTGAGGATAATTCATCCTTCTCATGCATTAAATTAGTTTTCAAAACAATTTTGTTACAATTGTGTAATGAGATTACAGTAACATTGGATACTGGAAGACCTTGAGTTCTCATCTACCTTATATTCTGACCTGTGCTATACGAGGAATGGATCAATTGCAGGAAGGTTATAATACAAGGAAGCCATAAAGATAATTATAACTTGTTCTTTTTATAATTTTATGATTCTTTTATGTATGGCAATCCAAATGAAAGGAAGCTAACTTGTTATTTTTATTATATCTAGACAAAGGTAGAATGCATTCGAATGCTTACATCTGGTCTGTATACCCCTAATCAAGAGTACCCCGCGCTGGTCGTTGCTTCTGGTGATTATAGATCTTCTGTTTCACAATTGGCGGAAGATAGGATAAAGAAAATAATGCGGTAATCATTGATTTAATTACAATCATCTGTTTTGTTTATTATAATAACTGTTCTAACAATTCTTTATATTATTTCTTTTTATCAATATTTTCTCTTTATTTATTTTTTCAATAAATGTATCAATATTATAATGTCATGATATTATGTTTTTAAATTTTCTTTTCTTCACTAGTGACATTGATATAAATAAGGCTGAGGCTGTAACCCCTCTTTATTCTATTTACCTTGGAAGCGATGCTGGCTCCACCCCAGACAAACTACGAGGATCTATAAACATGAGAATCAGGCTTAAGATTTTGCAGCATATTTCTAAATTCACCGTTATTTTATATCCAATAGCAATCAGGGTGAGTAAACAACTTGTAAAAGTTATATTTTTGAATTATTGTAAAAATCTTTTTTTAGTATGTATCTGCATTGATATATACTGAAGAAGATAATTGAAAAATAAAAGATGTTTATTTCCAAGATACATATATTTTAAATGTTTAGACCTAACTACTTCCTTTAAGTTCATCTCATTTTTGGGTTGTTAAGCTTGACCAACTCCATACGTTAATTGAGTGCTATCCCTGAATAAACCCTGAGTATTTTTGAATGGGAAAATAATTTATAAATATTTCTATTTTTAATATTAAAATTTAATTAAAAATTTTCCCTGAGTCTCAACTCTGTCTTTAAGTGATGTTAAAACTTTGTTTTTATTATATGAATCAAGCTTTGAACAGTATCAGGTACTCGTTGTAAGATAGAATTTATCAAACCCATAAATACTGTACTAGATTCATGAGGATGAAAAATAATGTATGAATAACCTTGTTTTATTTTAATATTCTTAGTTAGTCTATAACATAATAATAATCTTAGTTAGTCTATAACATAATAATAATGTATTTTAATGTCATAAAATTATATTTATTCTTTATTTCTTTGATTTTGAAGAAATGATATTAAGTATCCCGTATTTATTTTATGTATATATTTTTAAACCTTTATCATAAAAATTATTTATTCTTTTAATATTTTTTTGTGTTGAGATATTTTATAATTTTAGGTCCTCTTTGAATCACTTTATGGATCATTTGCCAATCAAAAATTGAGAATATTTGCTTTGTCATACGCCAGTATGATAATCCAACAGTGAGTAAATTGTCTTATAAAAATTATGCAATTACATAAAAAAAAAGTCTACAAATTTAAGCATTATTAATTTTTCTGACTCATATTAACCCAAAACTGGTGTAGTCTGTTTTATAGTTTCCATATTTAATTAATATGATGCAATACTTTAATCATTAACATACAACTTGACCAAAGAAGTAATTGGTAACTGTAATATATTATATATTTCTTACTGGTACTTGATATTGCTGTACAATCTTTAACTATATCAGTATAAAAAGTTGCCTTTTTATACTTCTTAACATATATCATAATTATAAAAAGTAATGTGAAAACACAATCTATAACAAAAAGTATTCTTGATTTTATCAACAAATTTTGAATAATTAAACCACATATAAAAATAAATTTAAAACTGGTTTATCCAAATGAGACTCCAAAATTAAATAACTACTCTGCTTCTCTCCAGAATATTTGAAATACAAGCAATATTGATGAATGATATTTATTCTTATAAACAATATAATGATATTAAGTAAGTCTATAAACAATATCAGCGGAGCTACATAATTTATAATGACTGTTGAAATAACTGTGCAGTTCCCCTTCTTTTGACCTAAAATCCAGAAAACAGCTCTTTTTTTGTTAATCTACTGTTTATATACACACATACACAATTTATAGAATTTATTTTTCTATACTCATTATGTTAATCATGTTTATTTACTTATTTGAATTTTTTAGTATTAATTTCAAATGTTCGTTACTGTTTCTAAATGTATATACATTTTCAGCTTACAGGAAAGTCACTTGAAACAGGTTGCACCCCTTCTTCTTGAATCAGGATTTCTAAAACTCCTACGAGAACCTGAAATTGAAATTTCTCTAAAGGAGAAAACATTTCCACTCGTTGGACAGCTTGTGAGAAAATGCCCATCTCTGGTTTCAAAGGATCTCACTCTTCTTACATTCCTATTCGACACAATAGAAGAGGTATGGTTTCCACTCGGCACTAAATATGTCTTGTAATCATATTTAAAAATAATTTATTCCATTATTCATCTTTTTATTATCATAATGATGAAAAAAGAATGAACGTAATAACAATTCATCAATCAATGCATACATACATTAGCCATCAGTTATTTTACATATCTTCTATCAGCCAAAAAGCATTTAATTCTCTCCTCATTAAAGCTTCAAATTGGACTAAAAGATTTGTAGTAATATTTAATCATACCAGACACCCTGCTGTTCACGCGGAGGAATTATATTGTGTTTTTGTTGTTATCTATTTGTACTAAAAAAAAAAATAATAATAATAAATAAAATAAAAAAAGCCTTCCTGACAGAACTTGACAATTAGCTCACTATTTGAAAAATCTGACCATTTTAAAAGGGTACATCACATCTGGTGTTACTACGGATCTGGAACGATGTTGGGACAGTGCAGGATTGAACCTGTATTGTAATTTATCCTGATATGGTCTATGCTATATACTCATTTCCAAATGAGAGATTCCTTCACTGCTCTATAATAAATTTCTTTGCATTCAAAGAAGTAATAGTTAACGAAAATATAAAGAACTCTTTAATAATTTTAATCCCCAACCCACTATTGAATTTATAACCAACTATTGAATTTATATGATCGGAAGGAGGAAATATTGAAATTTAATAACTTTTTTCATAGTAATTATTTAATTTTTCCAAATTGCCATTTATCGCCTTAATCCACTTGACGCTTCAATCCCATTATAAATTTGTTATAATTTAATTTTAACATATGCATTTATTTGTCCTTTTTACATGTAGAAATTTTGGTTTGCTTTAAAATATAGCTAGTTAATTACCTTCTGCCTTATTATGTAGTTAATATTTTCAATTTTGATTTATTGATACATTTAAAATGTTTAAAAACTATAATTTTATTCAAATAAAATTAGATGTAAGTTTATATGTTGTAAATAATCATTAGTTTTTTCAATAAAATCATCATATTTTCTATATACAAGTATTTCAATATTCAAGTATTTTAAACGTATTTTCAATAAAACTCTGACATTGAACCTAATGTTACACAACTTAAGTATTAAATTATATGAATCAGCATTGTCTTGTTACATTTAAATAACTGACCTACTTTGGCATTTTGTCTGCCTCTCTGCAATTTAGGCTGGTGATAGTGATGTGGCTCGGGTAATAAGAGATTCTGCAGTTTCAATGAGCAATGCTTATGGAGAGTTCAGCAATGGTGCTCTACCAGGTCTTCTTGAAGCGAAGTTGTCTTCTCCGTGCCAGAAAGCTCGTTCCTTAGCTCTCAACTTCATTATTAATGCTCTTCAGCCTACACCTCTTAGAACTTATTTACTTTTATACTCAACTTGTCTTAGGTACATTTTTATTTATTCTTTAATTTTTTACTAGAATAATAGAAAAAATATACTTGGGTTAATATTATTCATTTTCTATCAAGCATTGCTTACATTGTGTTCTTAGAAACAATTTTGAAATTAATGCTGTTGTTAGTAAAAAGTTTGTAATAAGTAAGGTTTTGTGTAAATTCCAAAGTTTATTACTTTCACTTACCTATAGTATACATGAAATATATAAGGGAATATGTGGAATCAAGTCCCCACAATGGTCTGTTGTAGTGTGTTTGTGTTTGTCTGTATCTGCACGTGTTTGTGTCTCTGCCTGTGTGTGTGTGAGAAAGATTTTATAGCTGAGAAACAAAAAGTCGTTCAGAACTATAGTGAGGTATTTAAGGTAAGTATGTGCCTAGGATGTTACATATGCTAACAAATAGAGTCTCAAGAATTTTATGAATTTTGGTATTTTATAACTCCTATCTCACAGAATAATAAGAAAAAAATGATCGTATCATTACACATTTGAATCAATATTATCTTAAATTTTGATTTATTAATTTTTTGTTTTAGTGATGATGAAATCAGAAGAGAAGCTAAAAAACCTCTTTACACTAGTGGAGAAGAAAAAAGTATTAAACCAGGAAATTTCCCTGCTCTTCTTACACTTGTAACTCAGAGGGATTCTGAAAAACCTCATCCCTCTCTACTTCTGAAAGAAGTAAGTTCATATATTAATAAGTTAGAAAAATAATAACTTTGTATCTTATTATGATATTTCCTTTTTTATCATCATCATCCTACCGAAATTGGTCTTCGGAGAGAAAATAGCATCGGATCTGGTCTTAAGAAAACAGATTGTTGGAATGAGGATGTGAAAAAGGCGATCTGAGACAAGAAGTTAGCTTGGAAAAATTACCTCAGCCACAGAACTCCAATTGCTTATCAGACTTACAAAAATCAGAGAAGTGAAGCCAAATTAATAGTAATTCAGGAGAAGAGAAGATCCTTGGAGGATTTTAGTCAAGAAGCTGGAAGAAAATGCAAAGGAAAACCAGAACGTGTTTTAAAGAGTGCTCAAAGAAATGAGGAAGGACTGGCCATCTACGCTGAAAGAAATAAAGCATCAAAATGGGAACATCTTCTGGCATGAGGAGTGCATCATGGAAAGTTAGAGGGAATATTTTAAGGACCTGTTAGATGGGAGAGACGTTGACGACTGTGAAACCTGGAACAGTGCAGAGGAGATTTGGTATGAGGAAGACTACATCAGTGAAGAAGAACTCCAAGATGCAATCAGAAAGACAAATTGTCGATTCCTTTTTTATAACAAATAAAAAATCCATATAGGGTAAATCAAGGATTGTAGTTATATTTGAGGAAGTTAATTGATAAAAAAGTGGTATCACCTACTCAAATTGCCAGATGGCATCTTTGGTTATATACATAGGCAGTCAACATGTCATAAGCCAATGTTTTGCATGCTTTCTCCTGGTCTATTTGTATTATAAAATAATAAGTTATATTATAAAATAATAAGTTGTATTATAAAATAATTATTATTATTTTGGACCGCCAAAGACTTAATACTAAGTGTTTGTTGTTGTGGTTATTTTATTTTATGATGACATTATGAATCAAAGATTTATTTATTTAATTTATGTTTTAGGTAGTGCTTTACTTAAGGCTTTGTTTGGCCGCAGATGCTGGAATTGAAAGTACAAATGAACAGATTTCTCATCCTTCAGATTCAAGCCCTTTGATCTCAAAATATCTTAACCAACTTGAGCCAGAACTACTCGAGGCCTATGTTACGATGCTGTTTCGTTTGCTAAAGGATGATTCTGGTAAGATATATATGAAAAAATCTTTCAACTTTGCATTACTGTAATGATTTAGATACACTATATTGGTTGATGAAACCTATGAAAATAAATTTAAGTAACAAATTAAAGAAATTTATAATAAACTAGTATCCACCAACAAGCAAGACCTCTCACAATAGAAAGCTCTCCTTCTCCCTAATGTATTTGACATATGAGCTACATCAGCAAAATATGCTTATTCTTATACACAATATATTATTAACACAATAGACTATTCAACACAAACACTTGCTCCATTGGAAAATATCCCTCCAGTTTAATAGTTAAGCAATGAGGCATACCTGTATAAATCCATTAATGTACTCGAAAAGCTTTGGTTTATAGTTCCCATTTTCCGAATTTGTATAGAAGCTATATCTGGATACTTTTTTTAATGATTGAAAAGTGTCTTTCTGTATTAACCGAAGAGATCAAGTAATCATAGAGCTGTTCTCCTTCATTTATTTTTTCTATAGGTTTTTTGAATATTTAATAGTTGACCGTTGCATTATAACGTCGGCTTTCAATAAAATAGTTTTACCACTATTTAGCCTATTTATGACCGCAACCCCGGACCATCTCCTTCCTATAGATTTTTTGTTTGTTGAAGGCTACTATAAATAGCAATATTTTTATTTTTAAAACCTTAACATTTGATAATAACCTATGGCAACTATTATCTTAGAGGTTATCAACAATAATTACAATTTATCTTTAAATGGTACATTTTAAGGCTTTAAAATGTATTTCTTGATGTCTGCATCAAAATCTTTAAAATGCAATTATCTCGTCTTGATCCATCAACTTTTGAAATTGGCATTCATCACTATTCCATGAAATTCTCTTTCATTGGATACCTCATTCATTGAAATCCATCACTCCTGAAGCTGGAAAAGACATACTAATGTATTTATTATATATAGTGCAGATGCTAAAAATACCTAAGTATGTAGTTTTTATTCATCCACCAAGAATTTAATAGCATAAAAATGATAAATGGAATAATTTTAAAGTCCAGAATCAAGCTAAAAATAATAATGTATGAGAAATGTGTTTTCCCATATAATTACCATTACAGTTGATTAGGTTGGATGAGGTATGTTATAGTGCTTTGGAAGATGGCTACATGTGACAGTTAAATTGACCAAAACTATCACTGTTGCTATAGGTACTGTTAACTGATAGTGCAATAGTTGCTGCCATTGTAATTGTCACTGTGGAAACAACGCTTTAGTAAAATAAAAGTGATTTTTTTTTTTAATGGTGAATCTTAAAACATATATCTGTGGATCACTTATTAGTGGTACCTAAAAAAAGAATTAATTATATAACTTATAAAGTATGTAACTTGACTTTCCAGTTTTATTAAAAATACAACTGCAAAGTGATAAAATTGTCTTATTGACATTGTAATAATTTCAGGTATTATTCCATTGGCAGCTCTTGTAGAGGTTATTGGATGTCTTTATCCAACCCTTCCTGACAAACATCTTGATAAAATACCTGTGTTTAAGGTGGGTTGAGCATTCACGGTCTACTTTTATTAAATAAATGTTGTTTCATTATTTAGTTAATCCCCTCTTACACTGAATATTAAGTTATTGTATTTTTCCTTTTTTTTTTTTTTTTTTTTTTTTTGCTTTTAGAAACTTGCTATTGATGGTAATAATGATGCAATTAGAGATTTAGCTGCAGAAGTTTGGGGTGTTCTTGCTTCAAGACTAGAACCTCCACCATTTAGTGAGCTTCAATCGCAGATCCTTGCATTAGGTCATCTCATCTCGAGAATAGATAATGCTCCTGTGCAATACCTTAATACTATTTGTATGCAATTTTATTCTCTTTTATTTATTAAATAGTTATTTATCCAATTGGTTTAGCACAAATTTATCATAAGTGTTTTACACATTTTGTATCATTGACCAGGTTTTGAATTACATATTTTAAGAAAATTCTGTTAAAGATGGTTTGCTCAAAAACCCTTCAAATTGGTTTCTATAAAAAAGTTTTAACTGTGTAGTGACAGGGCTGGTTAAATATTTAATAATTGTTTAAGTAAAACTTTGATGTTACCGAATTTCACTTATTTTGAAAATTATCTATGTATTAGATATTTTGAATTTTTTTTCATTTGATAAGTTTTTATTTGCTTATCACATTTTTCACAATATTTGATTTATATCCTAAAATGATATTATTCTTTCAATTTTATTTGTTGGTATTTAAATATATTTACTTTCCATTTATCTTGATTTTCTAGCTTTTGTTTTAGATATGAAACCAACTTTGCACTGGTTTATTTTAATTTTGATTTTATATTAATTTTATTTCGAGAAAATACTCTTTTTTGGTATCAAGACACAATAGACCATACTCTATTCCATTTTTAGTTTGTAAACAAAGTTTGATAAAAAGAGATGTAACAATGTCCAAATATAAGACATTAAATTAAAATAGTCTTAAATTAAAATTATCTTGTTTATAATAACAAATTAAAAAATACTACCATTTTATTTTTCCTTAATGATGCAGTTAGAATTTTTTTTAGGCAAATAGTAATAGTCGATATTGAGAGATATAATATATTTTGTGAGTGAACATTTTTTTTTAATACTCAGAGTAAAAATTAATGTAAATTTACTGCCTTTTAATTATAGCTAGAGTCCTAAACTTGTGAACCATCCTCAGGCGTAAAAACAAATCAAAAATATAATACATAATTACTGGTTTATTTTCTGAATATCTATTGTCTATATTATGATAACTGAAAAAAATAATAAATTAGATTCTTAAATAATGCTCATCAGTGTTTCTTTAATATTTTTCTACAGGCCAGAGCATCAATGAAGAAAATACCTGCCTTGCAGGCTTAACGTCTATAGCTTTGATTGCTCAATCTGCTAAACTTCACCTTCCAGACTCTCAACTTGAAGGCCTGGTTGATAATCTTTTAGAGGTGATTTTGTTTTATTTATTGGAAAATTAATATTAATGCATGTTGAATATTTATTTGTATGTCTATTTGTATTTTGTTTTAAATGTTTCAGAAATTCTTTAAAACTGAATCTAATAAAGTAAAAGAAAAAGCTATAAATGCTGTTGGATATCTTTGCATTGCTGAGCAAGGTACCAAGCTGAGGTCTAAAGTCATCAATAAACTATTAGAATCCCCCAAAGAGGTAATTAAATAACAATTTTTTCCTTTCCATAGTAATCCTATGGAAGGATTTTCTATTTTAAAATTTTACAGATTCCTTGAACATTTGTATATTGCCTATATTGAAATCATAGTAACTTAAGAAATGAAAATTAATGAAAGGAAATAAATGTGTATATAACACAAAGAGATAATAATGAAGAAACTAGTAAAATATATAACAGAAAAACAAGTAAATAAGCAGAACAAAAATGTCAAATAAACAGAATAATAAAATATATTTTGAGGAATAATGAAAAGATAGTAAATTAGAAGTAAAATCCACCATATTTGGAAAATAGTGGGAGTCATAGTTTGGGTGTTGTGTAGTCTTCATTAATATTTAATCAGGTATAAATAATGAAATATTTATTATAGTTTAATTATTATTATATATTGTTCATTTATGCTGCTATAACTGAAAATTTTCTGAGATTCGATTCAGTCACAATATTTTTCATTTATTTATTTATAAAATTTACAACTGTACAAATTAATATACATTCAACAAATGTGATACAAATATATATATGACATAACAAGGTTTGTTGAGAATCTACCCATTGGTAACATTCTAAGTCACAATTTAATTATGAATTGTAGATTATCTTTTAATTGTGTTTATTTCTCTTTCTCATCATTTATGTTTCTTAATGTTACATGATGTATTATTGAATCACAAGCAATGGTCTCGTAGTTACACACTCTATAACTATCTCTGTTCCAAATTTTAAATATTATATGTATCTTTTATTTTATTTTAATGATAATTTTTTAAAATTTATTTGGAAGTTGAGTCCTTAGATGGGTTTCTTTACTTTCTCTTTGGATATACCTTCTTCAGACTACTGACATTAATATAATTTTTAGACATCTCACATTCTCGGTTCCTACCAGATGTCAGCATCTTCTTATTCTTATTATATAAATAGTTAAATAATCTATAACATTAAGATTAAGATTATTGATATTGATATCTGTTAGGTGAAAGATATAGAAGTGATCCTCTGCTCTGGACAATGCTTGGTTTCAGCTATCATGGGAAGTGACAGTCCACTTGCAGGTTCTACTTTAGTATTTTAATTTAATTTCATCCGAGCGAATTTATTATTTTTAACCTAAATTTGATTTCAAAAAGGTGATCCATGGAGCAGAGAGAAACATCTTCCTCAAAGTGAAGGTTCAAGCGGACTAGCTGGTTCTTCTGTAGAAAGGATTTTGTCTACTATAACTGAAGACAGAAGACCGATTGTCAGGCAGGTATAGTAAAAAATGTTAAAGTGTCTAGTTGGATTGATCTTTTTTTCTAAAAATATTATTATAGCAACTTTAAATAAGAACATAAAACAACATAATTAAATTTTATGTAGTGAAATCTGTTGAAAATCTTAATCTGAAGAAAATGAAGATATCTTTATTCTTATTAATATTATCACACACTTTTTTTATCAGATAAGATTCTTTGATTTAAAATATGTTTTTATTATTGATTTTGTGGTATGTTGCAGACATTATGCTTTTGGCTCTTGGCTGTAACTAAACATTGCTGCCAAATAGAGGCTGTGAAAATAAAGCTTGGTGAAATTCAGTCTGGATTTATAGATCTTCTCAACGATAATAATGGTATTGAATACTTATTTCATAACTTTTAATCAATGGACTAGAAATATTAATGCAATATAAATTAAATGATCACAATTTTTTGTTTTATAAAAAAAAAAAAAGTCTGCCAAACAAGGTCAGTACAACTTCCACGCCATTTCATTGGCTAAAGTAATTTTTCGTGTGAGAATAAAATATCTGGTAGAAGCCATTTTTGGAAATACAGTAATCCCTTAACATTCACGGGTTTGCTATCTATGAATTTTGTTCATCTGCAAATACTAAAATGCCGAAGAGTTCCACATTTACAAATTGCAGATTCTTGATAAAAAAAAAAAAAAAGTTATTCTAGTACATACTGAACATGCATATCGCTACTGTTAGTGCCAAACATCATATGTAAATATTGAGTGTTTTACAGGAGAGTATAAGAACTAATTATTTCCTTATGATTTATGATTTATCAGTATAATTTCATAAAGAATTAAGAATTAGGAAATAAGAATTTATTTTCTTTTGCCATGTTCCATAGTAGCAGACTACCTGTATCAGTTGCAGACTAAAAAATGTCACCTTTAGCACACAAAGAATAAAAATGGAAAATTTTACATATGACCTTTACACTGACATGAACTTAATATGTACATACAATACGTACTTAATAGGTATGTTTTCACTTATAATATGGATAGAACAAAAAATCCATTGGAAAAATTAAAGTTTTTGTACGTTCAAAAGTTAACAAGACCAATATTTTCCTTCAGTCAGAACAAAACTGATTTAAGCTGAAGTATAAAAATATGAGAGGTCACACAATTTTGATGTTTAAGGAGGAAATCGAAAACACCGAATCAAATTTGATCCTTTACGTCTGAAATTTAAAAAAAGAGCAGAAATTTTCGATTCTTAGCATAACAATTTTTTTAATCTCTCAGACCAGTATAAAGCTTCCCACCTTAAGTAATAAGCAAGCATAAAATGAAATTTCAACCTTTGATCCTTTACTACACTTTAAATCCATAAAATATATTTTAGTCCAATCAAACTAAAAGAGGAGCAAGAAATATTGCTTTATTTGTGAATTGTGGTTAACACATTTTTTTTGGTTGGTGAACAAGGTTTGCTAACAGATATTTTTCCTGGAATTTTGTCTTTTGTTTGCAAAATTTTGATACTTTTTTTTCTTCCATGTCTCTAAAACTATTGTTTTTCAAGAATGCTACCTATACAAAATTAAATTAAATTAAATTTTCTAATTTTTATAGCTGTAATTTTTTTTCTCTGCATCGAACTGCTAAGCCTCTAGAGGGTGCTGATTAGAGTTATAATTTCCAAAAATTGGCTTTTGGCACAAGTGATTAGCAAAAACCAATCAATGTAATTTATGTTTGATTTCATTCAAAACTATTCATGTTATGCTGATTGTGACCATAATTATTAAACTTCATTCAATACATATTTGATATAGTAGAAAAAACACAATTATGGTGAAATGATTGTAAGTGAGACACAACAAATTTATCTTCTTTGAATTCCTCTTTGGTATGGAAAAATCTGATATGACCTAAATTTATAATTATGATGCATGCTTACCAACAATACTGATTTGTGTATTGACTTCATAAAAATTAATTTATTTCTATACATTAAAATTAAATTAATGTCTGAGCAACTGTGGCTTTAAGTGCAGTATTGTATTTTATATAGAATATATATTTTTTTACATTACTACCTAGATTTGATAACATGAGGCATATCAAAAGCTACCGGCGGGTGGAGGGGAGAAGAATTATTGTACTTGTTTCCGCAGGTATTAAAAAATGGAGCACTTTTTCCTTATTAATTAATATTTATGGTCACTAATCCATTGCTATGGGTCTTAGCATGACTCAATAAAGTCAATAAAGAGTTAGTAATTGGTCTATCTAATGCTAGATTTATTTTTAATTGAACTGCTAGTTCTGAGATCAGTATATTTAAACCAACAACTCTACAGTTTTATGAAATAGTATAGGTTATGGGTCTGTATAATTTTTATTTAAAGGATTGTCAGGAATGTAGTTATTTTGGCATAATTTGGAAAAGCGATTGTCAAGAATAAATTGGCAGCCCAGTTTAGAAACAAATTCAAAGTTAGATTGTGAAAATTATGTATGCAGACCTCTCAAGACCATATATCTCTGACAATACATAATAACATTATCTCTTTTTTTTTTCATATTTTATTTTGGATTGAATTGTTCTCAGTGAGTCAAGTACCAGTTCAGTAGGAATCTGCTATTTTGTATCTAGTTAGAATTTATTTACTTTCCTTATTGTTTATTTACCTTTAATTTCTTGATCAGGTCTAGTTCAAGAGGGAGCTGGGAAAGGCCTGGCTCTTGTTTACGAGGCTGGAGATGAAAAAACTAGAGGTGATTTAGTTAAAACAGTTGTCGAACAACTTGGTTCAGGAAAGAGACTTGGCCAAGTATCTAGTGAAACTAAACTTTTTGAGGAAGGCGAGCTTGGTGAAACTCCTACAGGGCAAGTATAATTTTTTTCTATTCCTGAATTTCAAATCTTTTTAGTTAAACATAAATGTTTTCTTGAAAAAATAATGTGTTATATACTTTGTTGGAAATTATATTTTGTTATACATGCTTTATTTGACTAAAATATGGTTATTTAATTACTACGTTTAATCAATATGCAATCAATGTTATTTACAAAAAAGATCTTGTTAATCCCAACAATCTTTATTTCATTTAATTAAAAAAATTTGGCTCTACTTGCCATTTTCAAACTGTTCAAAAAAACATTTTAAAAAATCAATAGTTAAAACAAAACTGTTTTTTTTTTTTTTTTTAATAAAATGTTTACTGTTCTATGGTAGTAGTTGTTAAATTGAAATATATTAAATATATATATTAACTAAGTAGTTTTTAAATATATTGAATTCTCCTTCAATACTACTTTTAAGAAATCTCTCAGTTACAGAAATTATTAATTAATCTGAAAAATTAAGTATATAAAAAGCTTAAAAAGTTTTTAATACCTATATTATTAATAAACTATATTAAATTCAAACACTGTTTTATTTTATATAAACCCTCCCTGGTGGACAAATTAAGGCATCAGTATTTTTATTACTCAAATAAATAATAAATATCCATATTTTTAAAGTGCATTGGAAGGAGTCAGTGTAGTTGTCAGAGCCTGTTTAATCTTTTTATTCTTTTAATATCTGTGATGTCACTCTCTCATTTTTTCTCCCCCTCTATTCCTTAGGGGAAATGTATATCTGCAGTGCATCAAATTTCCTAGCAAAAATATTTTACCTAGATTTGATAAAATGAGCCATATAATCAATCATGGTTTTAGGGTTTTCATTTAGTCTGCATTGAGATGTGGAAAATCTGGTGCACTTAACACAAAACTTTCATATAACACTCTACTTGAATATAAATTATTTTCTGACAATGTTGGGTTATTATAAAATTTTTCAAGTGCATTTTTAAGCAAGATAAAGCTTAAAGCTTACAGTTAACAAATCATTAATACCATTAAAATAATAAAAATCCTATTTATTATATCGACGGTTGATTATGGATTGTACCACTATTAATTATTAAACTATTCCATATATTCCATTGCAAAGTTTACTAACATGGAATTACAATAGGTCATAGAAGTTACAAAAAAATATTAAAAAGAAATATACTATAAAAAAATACCAATAATTAGTATATTACTAAATATAAAATAATATATTGAATTAAATACAATATATATATATATATATATATATTATATATATATATATATATATATAATATATATATATATATATATATATATATATATATATATATAAATATAAATATAAATGAATGTATGTCTGTCTGTTTGTCCTTTATGCATTACTAAAGCATTCATCCGATCGCCATGAAACTTTGGGAAGTTGTTGCATACACTGCCGTGAAGGTTTCTGTTATAGTACTTCTGTTCCAAAATAATTTTATATGTGTAAAAAAAATAAAAATATAAATGTTTTTTTTTTCAAAGCCACTATTCCCCGAAAGTTCTTCACCAATTGCTTTGAAAGTTGTCACACGAATTGTAGGTGGATACTGTTGGGGTTTCACAAAGGAAAAATTCATTAAATTATTCACTAATTTAATTTTCTAAAAGTTTACATGATTTTTCAGAATAAACGGACGATAGATACCTATTTAGAGATCTAGAGGTATCGAACTACAGTAAATGTAGTTAAACCTGATTACCATTAATACATTTATAATTAATTAACTTAAGTAATAATAAAGATCCAATCTGGATGATCTCATCCTAGTCTTGAATAGGTTGATAACCATAAACTTTTTGTTAACTTGCTTTTTCTTTTTTAGTGACATCAAAAAATGTTAAATTTATTTCACCATTCAATAAAGAATGTTCTTTATTTTATGTATTTTTTTTTTTACTATGTGATTACAGTGGAAAGTTGTCAACATATAAAGAACTGTGTACCTTGGCATCTGATTTAAACCAACCCGATTTGATTTACAAGTTTATGGCTCTTGCTCATCATAATGCCATTTGGAACTCGAAGAAGGTGCTAGCCTTTGTCTATTTTTCTTCATTTTATAAAATAATTTTAGACTAGTCGGTAACAGTTATTGTTTTATAGGGTGCTGCATTTACTGTTGCCTCACTTGCTCAAAAAGCTGGCCCAGAGTTTCAAGAGCACTTACCATCGGTCCTTGTAAGGCTTTATAGGTGAGATCTTAGTATAGTTATCTATTAGTCTAAATGTATATTTCAAAATATCATAATTGTTATTTATTTAAAATAATATATTTTCTATAATTACAATCCTCTTTAATCCAGGTACCAATATGACCCTGTTGGTCATGTGAGGCAAGCAATGGCTGGGATTTGGTCATCTTTGGCTACTCAGGATACAGTAATAACACTAACTTTTATTATTTTAAATAGAAAATTTAAATCTTAATGCTATGATATTATTACTTCAAATAACCACAAATTGGCTATAGAAGGTATTATTTCTTGGCTGTTAAAACTATTTGACCTTTCATTTATTTAGTTACTGTTTGAAAACAGATTTGAAGAATAAAGAGAGAATTAACAGCTTTGCTTCTTCATCCCAACTCTAAATTACTTTAATCTATTCACATTTTTATGGCTTATGATTCTGGACTTGACTTGATTTCTGTGAATACCACAATAGGAAATTCTAATCTTCAGCTATTTATAAATATGATAACATTCTTATTCATTTTTATATATGAATGGTATTCATAAATAAGCTTATTTTTGATAGATTATTTATTACACATGATAGCCAAGAATGTTATGGCATCTCTCTATCAATCTTGAGTCTAGAGATGGCAGTTCAAATCTGGACTGAGCAGGTTGAAACTTATGTTGTGGAAAATCTTCCCACTCTGTCTGGAATACATTGGTTACTTGTAGATTAAGACTCAACCATTCAATCCCACTTTTGTTTAACACTGCATTGCATATATGGATTAAAAAAATTCACAAACTTTTACTGATTGTTTTTATAACCTAATCAACACTGATGAATAAAATTTGAACATTCATATAAATATCTTATCTATAAATTTATTAAGCTATACTTTTAAATAATTACTTATAGTTTTAAATGTTAAAAAATATATTGATTTGTGGCAATAATTGTTTTCATAGATCAATGAAAAATAGTAGGATAATTGTCAAGCAGTTATAACACCATTCTTAATTCTAATATTTTTTTAAATAAAAAAAATTAAACAAATACAAGTCAGACATATTTAGCTATTAGAATAATTCATAAGTCTGGTCTGGGTATTTTATGGTTCTATTTTAAATTTTTTAAATTTATATTATAGTTGGTATAGTACAATATAAGCATAATTGAGAAAATCTGTATATTTTTGCATAGGTTGTCAAATTTCGAGGACAAATATTCGATGATTTGTTGTCGAACCTTACAGCTAGAGAATGGCGTGTGCGATATTCATCTTGCAGAGCCATTACTGATCTTATGAGAGGTCCTGCTGGAACATTCCTTATAGAAGTAAGATATTTATTTATAACTTAAAGCCGAAGAATTCAGATTTAAAATTATGTCATACTTTCTATGAAAAAAAAAATGGTTTTGAGTTCTCTTAGTTATTTTTTTTATAAATATTTTATCATCTGAATAGCTGGATTTTTTTAGGAAATGAACTAAGACTTGTTTATATTTAGTGCTCAGTGTATTTATATTTTAAAATAAGATATAATGTGAGTCTTTGAGTATCAGTGTTGACCAACCTCACAAGCTATGATTTTGTGAAAAACTCTGTGCAAGATTTTGCAAATGTTTGCCAAACTGCTTTAGACCAAATATATATATATATACATAGTTCTGGAGATATATTAATGGAAGCAAATGAGCATTAGGGTTACAACACTGTGGTATAGCTGCTAAAATAAAAATAACTAAATGAAATTGGAAAGGAACATTAAATCAATTTTATAGGCAAACCATTAATGTGATTAAAAAAAAATTGAAAAACTAACTACAGATGAAAATGATTTATATCTGTTCCGTAAGAAGTTTAAATGAATATTCATAATGGTATTATAAAAAGACAAAAACTATTGTAACCTATATAGATTGAGAATAGAAAAAAAAAAAACATATATTGTAATATAAATATCTAATATAAATTTAATGGGTCAATAGAATTTTAAATAGTGATGCAAAAGCAGTGCCGTCCCGAAATACTGCCATAAATGGACAAAGAGGCGGAGAAAGACAAATGGAAGGGGAAGGAAGCGTCATATGTTAAAGACAGTAGGTAACCAACCACCTGGCGAGGAAAGAGAATCAAGACCTGTCACCAAGAGAGTGACAGGTCGACAAGTAGTGAGTGTCTAGAGGAGTACCGGAAAATAGAAGATTAAGAGAAGACATTTATAGGAGTTGAATACAGCAATATCTTCAACAAACAACAATTGAAGGAAGATTCACTGCAGAACAGGGTTAGTTCAAAATAAATAGTGACAATTAAAAAGCGCGCCAAGAGTAGACCCAGACAAAACTGAATGGAAATCCATAAATTTTGTATATAAATTTAATGTATGCTTTTATATTATATAATTGAGGAATGTATAACATCTCAAAGAGATATAATCTTATAAATAGGAAAAGTAAAACAAACTAAATCTACTCACAATGCTTCGTTAAAAGTAACAGGAAAGCTTTTTCATTTTCATAACAGAAAAAAAAAAAAAAAAGATGTATCAAGATAATTAGAACCTTATTACATAATAAATAATTAGCCAGATTCATCTGATTGAATTGTGAAGATGAATTGGAATAAGAGGGTTTTAAATGCAAATAAGGATGGTGCATGACGGATTTTAAGCGGGATGGAATTTCAAAATGCACTAAAACGGATTTGATGATAAAGGAGTGTTTAAATGAAGCGGATCTGTGAATTTTTAATTGAGTTTTAATTTTTTCCATTTTAGGTTCAAATGGGAAGAGATTTTAAGTATGTATTAGTATTATTGCCTGATTTGCTTTCAACTCAGTTTCCACAGAAATGTTGGTTAGTTCTTTGTGTTTTTTCTTCCTTATGTATACCGAATAAAAATTGATTTATGTCTTATTTATTTGTTTTAGGAGAAAAAAGATCGCCTACCTGAGCTTTGGGCAGAATTGTTTAGGGTGATGGATGATATCCACAAGGACACTAGAAGTGAAGCTGTAAGAACTGCAGCCAGTTTGTCAAAGGTAGATATTTTTTGTTTTAAACATTCTGTCATATTCATGTTTGTATTGAAGCTTTGTATTTGTATGGGATGTTGGAAAATGTTTCGTTGATGATTAAAAATTGTATACTAGAATATAACATTTCAGACATCCAGGTTATTTTCTGTGTCGGTCCAGTCAAATTCTGATGGACATATCACCTTCTACTTTTTGTCCAATTTTCATGAAATTTTTGGTCTTAGATGATCACATATTTTGTTATACTCACCTGTATTTTCAAATTGGTGGTTTCGATTTGGTTTGAAGATGAAAAAAAATTGGGAATTAATGAAAAACTAATGCTGTATTAATTTTATTGAATTCTATCCACCACTTTAGTTTATTAGATATGTGCAATCTTATTTTTTCTTAATACACCTATATCTCAACCGTCAGCATAATTTGACCGAAATTTGGAGGGAAGTTAGATATTGAGGAAAAAATTATCAAATTCCAGTCACTGCTTTCAAAAAGTACTTTTGCAATAGATGGACAAATATATTTTGTTAGATAAACCTAAATTTCAAAAATTGCTTGTTCGATTCTTAATGAAGTTAAGAGGAAATGTGAAGAATAGTCTAAAAATTAGTGTTGTAAAAACCAGCCTCAAGCTTCCTTCGACTCGTGTCGTAAAGGCTCGGCTCTAGACCTTTTAAACCTTGGACCTCCAAGGCTCATAGGGCCTTGATAAAATTTTCTTAAAATAAATATCAATTATTGTACATTTTCATAAAAAATATATTTTTTCTGTTTGTTGTAACAATGTGAATATATTTTTGAAATATAATGTAAATAAATAGACAAGAAAAAAGAAGTAAAGTGCCAGCCGCGACTTGAGCCTTTTACTACCGAACTCTTAAGACTTGTAAAAGGTCTTACTCCCTTATTATATATGTAATATATAATAAGGGAAAGTATTGCAATCGTGAACATTTTCGAATCCGAGTTTTCAACAGAAATACACGTTTTGAGGTACCCTGAGTTCAAATAACCAAGTACCGAAAAATGGTCTGTGCCTGTGAAAACTCTAGCTCAAAAACGAAAAGTCGTACAAAACTTATATTATGTATTTAAGATAAGTATATGCCTTAGATATCACAGCAACTTTTTCCATAAAATCGGCTACATTTTTACAATTTTCTCAAAAAGGGCTCTAACAATTTTGATTAAATGTGGTGTATCATTGTATAATTAAGTGGTCTTTAATATCATTTAGATCTTATCCCTGTTGATGTCACTTTACAGAGCTTAAATGCCCGATGTTCATATGCATCTTCCTCTTAAGTACCTTCAATATGGTTTATTTTAAATAATTAACTATGAGAATTAAAGAAAAACAATATATAATATAGAAAATTGTAGAAGGTAACGGAGAGTGACGAAAAAATATTAATAATAATTTCTAAAAACTAACATTATTTAACGTAAATCAGCTGTTCTCAAAACCCATGGATTCAAGGCAATGACATTCTTTAAGATACTATTTCATTGTACTTGTGTGAAAGAAGAAGTGAAATATAAAAATATTTCTTGGATATGTTTATAACCTTGAATATATTTACTATAGTTTAATAATTCTAGATCTGACATTATATTTAAATAATTAGCTAACTATCTTCCATTTATTCCGAATAATCATCATGTAGCCTTTTAGAAAATTAAATTAGTGAATAATTTGGTGAATTTTCCCTTTGCGATATTCCAACAGAATCCACTTACAATTAGTGTGACAACTTTTGTCCTGTTCATGAGAGACAATGCAAATCTCTTAATTCCGTTTTAGTAAATTTTGCAATGGAAAATAACAGTTTAATAACTAATAGTTGTATAATCCATAATCAACGGATCGTACAATCCATAATCAACCAGTTATATAATAAATAGGACTTTTGTTATTTTAATAGTATTTATGATTTTTTAGCTGTAATCTTTTAGCTTTAGGTCAGTTAAAAATGCAATTCAAAAATTTTATAATAGCCCAACATGGTCAGCAAGTAATTTCTATTCAAAGTTGAGCAGTAAATGAAAATTGTGTGTTTTGCGCACCAGTTTTTTAAAAGATAAAATGGCAATATGTTTTGGTAGATGGATGTACTTTTTCTACCTGTAATTTTTTTTTTTTAGTGGGGAGGTAAATTAACCACTTCCCCCCTCTCCTCCTCCCTCCCTCCCGAATTTTTTTCTAAGAATGATATGTTGGCAATATGTTAGGGTAGGTGGGTGATACTTTAATATATTTTTTTTTTGAGGGGGGGACGCCTCCCTCCAAATTTTTTTTTAAAGATAAATTGGCAATACGTTTGGATAGGTGGTTGATACTTTTTAACTTTAATTTTTTTTTTTTAAGTTGTGTCAAATTACCCCACTCCCTCCTCCCCCTCCCAATTTTTTTTTAAGAATTATGTTTGGGTAGGAGGGGAATACTTTTTTTTACTTTAAATTTTTTGGGAGAGAATTCCTCCTCAAAATTTTTTTTTTAAATGATATAATGCCAATATGTTTGGGGAGATGGATATTACCCTTTTGTATAAATTGTAAAACAGTTTAAAAATTCCATTATTAAACATATGGTAAAAAACAATTAAGATTCAAGCCTTTTACTGGCGAGATCTTAGGACTCGAGTAGGGACCCTTTTTGGCTCAAGCCTTATAACCTTCTCACCGAGCTTTTTTACCACACTAGTAAAAATAGTCTAGTATTAATTTCATTAAATTCCATTCAACAAATAAAATTAATGTACCTTGTAGTTGAGGATATATTGATAAATAGGGCAAACCGTGTTTGTTATATATGCAATGTTATAATTAAGTTATGAAATGTTCATTAGCTTTTATTAATTTTTTAGCGATATTGCAGTTTTTTATTTTTTTATAGATCTGTGCCACACCTGTTATCCTTCCAGTACTTTTGGAGAAAGGTATTACAAACCCTGCTGTAGAAGTTAGATTATTAAGGTCAGTTCATTTGTAAATTTACAAATTTATTGTACTTGTTTTTTAGTTCCTGTTAACTTTTCGATCTTTGAAATTCTTTGATAACATGCATATTTTCCTAATTTCTTGATAAAAATATTTTTGTAGAAAAGTATAAATAAATAATTGTAAGATAACTCAAAAAGAAATTTAGAAGGAGCTGTACTTCTTTATGTTATCTCGATTAATAGAAATGTCTGGAAGTTAAACTCTGAGTATGCCTGTCTCAAATTGATTTTGCATTTCATCAAAATTTTAATTTAAAAAATACTATTTACATGTTAAAGTTTATTAATTTAAAATCTATACTTTTCCTATTAGAGGCTTTGCAATAAATTAATGCCTTCCTTATTATCATTTATTTTGATTCCATTCCCTTATTTACAGTCTTGCTACTGTCAGTGAAATGTTAAAGAAAGGCCTTCCTGAAAAGGATGTTGTAAAAGTGATTGCTGGGTATTTGAAATGTGAGCTGGATCCCAGAAGTTTTGTACAATACGTAAAGGTAATGCCATATAAAAATATTTTTATTTATTATGACTTTGTGAATATTAAGATACTTGTTTAAAAAGAAACTTAATTTTCATTTCTGAAGGTAGGTATGATGGAAGAATTGACTGGTGCTCTTATAGATTCATTGAAACACAGTGTGAGAGGTGGAAGAGTTTCCTCTGCGAATTTTATCACTTTGCTGAGCCATCACCTTCGTTGTGAAGAGATTCAACCTTTCGTTGGTTTGTATGACAATTTTTTTAATACCAATTTTAAACTAAGAGATCCATATTGACAGCATGGTTACTGTTTCTTTACAGGGAAATTTCTTGGAGCTCTACTTCCCGGAGTAAAAGATAAAAATAGGAGAATAAGAGCTGAATTCGGTTCAACTATGGGTCAGCTGCTCCGTTGTGCCAAAGCCTCCAGTGTTCAGAGACTTTTTGAAAGACTGACAACACTATATTTAGAATCTTACACAGGTATTTTCTTAATTTTACTTTCTTTTAAGAAGTGTTGTAATAATCAATAATATCTTAAGATTTTTTTTTTTTACTTCTTTATGTTATATATGAAAAAATATATTTGTTAAAAAATTGAATGGAGAAATTTACAGTGTGCTTGCAAACCTGATTGTTCTTGAAATATCATTGTGTAAAAAAAAATTCATCATATTATATTTGACAAGGTTTGAGCGTGACCTCACTTCATAACCTTCCACTCAAAAGGCTCTCCCTTGGATGAAGACAACATATGAAGATATATAAAATTAATAACCTTATTATGAAGAAAAATAAATTGAATATCTTTAAAGGAATTAATTTAACATATTGCTACTTATTGAGAAGACAATATAAAGTTTTTGGTATAGATAAAGAATTAATCACTAAAGTAGGAGATAAATATCCAAAAAGTAATTGGAATTCGCTAGTTCCAATCTGTTTGATTTAGGCTATACTTGTTTTTCTTTTTGTGTGTAGGGAGATATTAGGGCAACTTCATTTGTTCATTTTTATAAACTTTATTGTCAATATTGTATGAAATTAAATACAGTAGGTGAATAAATAAGAAATTAAGGAAATACATGTGACAAATTATATACTGAAAATTAAATCACAAAATAAGAAATAATGTATAAGTATGATGGTTAGAATGTAAGAGGGCCTAAATGTACATATGCTCTGAATTTTGTTCATAGAATGCTGAATTTAGTTTTTATATAAAACTAGATTTGGTAAAAATAATGTGCATATTATTGATGATTTAAAATGGACTATGGTTATGATAAAATGAAGGAGACTAAAACTAAGAGCTTTCATTGAGATCATTAATGCCTTCCATGACTAGCTTGGATCTACGAGACAAGGGTCAGACAGAAGTATAATCTTTACATGGTTATATTTTATTATTATTATTATAGATATTAATTAATTTTATGTAAAATTTCAAGATTGGTTTGTTTTGAGTAATCAATTCAAATTTTTTTCTCTTTTATTTTCAGAGGAGGAAGTAAAGTGGGGTGTTACTGAAGCAGTTGATGCAGCAATTAGGCATAGTCAAGATGCTGTTGAAGAAACGGCATTACCTTTGGTGTTTTTGGCTAAACACGAACTTCCAAATGAAGGTAATTTCAAATATCCAGTATATCTTATTTTAATTTAGATATTTTATTATAATTTTTATTTATAAGAAATATCTACTGTGTATCCTAGAAAAATCTAACATGAAAAGAATTGAAAAATGGGAAGAAGCTTTTAAACAGATATGCCCAGGTGTTGGCCGCCTTACCACTTACCAGTCAGAAATAATTTCCTTGCTCTTAACTGCTATCAAATCTCAATACTGGACACTAAAGGCGCAGGTATACAAATTGGGAACAGAAGTTTGCTGTTGTTCATTTTATATGCTTATTATTTCAATTAATTTTAATTTCTGTAAATTTGTAAGTTTCCTCTTTTAACTAGGGTGGGAAATCAGTTCGAACACTTGCTGAGAAAGTGACAGATCTAAAACAGAAAGAGGAAATTCTTCAAGCCGTCCTCGAAGCTTTGGAAGGCAGGGTTTGGGCTGGAAAAGAAGCTCTTCTAAGCCCTCTACCATTCCTTAGGTATCAATTACAACATTACTACAATTATTAATAAATATTATAGTCCGTGGTACAAACCCCTTTTTATCAAATTATTAACATCTGTCTGCAACTTCGTAAATAGCTTTACCTCATTGTCCTACAAATATTTTATTTCCCAAAATTCTCGGAATTGGGGCGTTTTCAATCTGGAGGTCGGCAAACTTTTTCTATTTAATTAGATACTAAAAACTCGTGAATACCCACTTGCTTTCCACTTGGATCTTAAGATAATTTGATCACAAAATTGATAAAAAAGGTGGTCTATAAAAATATTTAGCCTATATAACCTCGTTATTTTGACAATTTTGGGGGTGTAAGTAACGCCAAACGGCTCAATATTTTTTAAGGCCACCTTTTTTTCTCGACTTTGTGCTCAAGTTATCTTACGATTCAAGTGGAAAGCAAATGTATTTACGAGTTTTTAGTGCCTAATTAAATAGACAAAGTTTGCCAACCTCCAGATTGAAAACGTTCCAATTTGAAGAATTTAAATTAATATGTAAGTAAAATATGTGTTTGTTACAAGGGGATGAAGCTATTTATGAAGTTCCAGGCGAATGTTAATAATTTGATAAAAAGGGATCTGTATCACGGACCATTAATACAAGTAGTAATTTTCATTATATTTTCATGCAATTTATCACATTTTATCTAATGTGTGTTCTAATGATATTACTATCGCATTTTATTTAATGAAAACTGATTAATTATTTGATATTTATTCATTATTTTAAATAGCCAAAGTGATGATGTGAAACAAGTTCTCTTGAAAGAAGTTAATAGAGGAACTACTAGTTATAAGTCAGCAGCTTTGACCTATCTTGCAGAGACAAAACCAATTTTTTCGTCAGTAGTTTCTGCTATAAAAGAAGCTGTAACTGGCGATGAAAAGAAGATTCTTGAAGCAGCAGTTTCCTTAATTGGAAAATGTATTATTGGTGGTAAGTTAATTTTTGAGATATATTTAATATTTATATTTTTATCTATACTTTTCATACTATTATATCTAAGGACAACATGTTTTTTGTTTGTAACTGTTAAACTGTGTAAACTGAGCAGATTTACATGTATTGTTTTTGTTTTTTTAAATGCTACATGTAGTTTTGTAAAGGTTTTAAACTATTGAAATCCTTGATTTGAGCTGTTGAAAAAAATTCGAAAATATTTTCATCTGTGTGTAGATAGTTTTCTTAATTATACTTAATAATGTTCAATCCTATTAAATGTCTGGTTCTATTCAAAGCTCAGTAGTTTTTATTCCTGCTCATTGGTACATAAGACTATTTTAATCTCTGTAGAATTCCATGGAGGAGAAAAAAATTAAAAGAAGAGGCTATGTTCTTTGGATGCATGTTGTTATTCATGTCAATGAACTAAACTATAAAAAATTAATTTCAGAAAATGAATTTGATGAGGCTGTGAAGATATGTTTGAATTTTCTTGATAAAGTTCCTGGGCCTTCTTTGGAATCTATGTCTGAGATGACTAGAGAGCGTTCAGGAAAACAATTAACTCAGTACACCGAACAGTTTATATCTGCTATAGTCCTTGGTCTTGGTGAGTATCTACATAATTTCTTTTTTACTTTTTGGGGCATTATTAAGTGTTATGTTCATTTATGGGGCCGAGAGAGTTTAGGCACCTGCAAAAGTACATTTAACACCTAGATGCTTTTTGTATCAATATTTATCAAAACCGAAAAGTCATAAGTTCAAATCCCGTTCGCATGAACAAAAAAAAGATAATTAATATTAAATTTAAAAATTAAAATTGCAAGTGCTACTTCGACCACTACGGTGCTGGTTCAATTCTCGCATGGGAAACGGTAACGTCCGCACCCAGATTCACATTGAGCGACCTCTGTGTCTTACACCATAATTGCTGTTCCTACAGGTTGGGGGTTTGGCATAGGACTAATAATCTATCCCAGAAATAAAAACTTATTACGAAACCTAATCCAAGCCTACTCTGAGGCCTTCCAAGCCTTTGTTAAGGCGGTAAAAGACGTACTTGGGCTGTAAATGCCAACACAAAAAAAAAAAATTTCATTTATATTTTATTTAAAAAAGTATGGTGTAAGAAATAATGATTGAAAAAAGTATTGCTTTATAATTTATGACCAATGATCAAATAGATGACATTTGTTTTTATTTAATTATTTCGTTCAGCACTAGGCAGGTCATTTATTTGCTTTGTTTTTCCAGGCTCTTAATTGTTTTTCAATGAGAGCCTCTACTCATCATGATAACAATGGAACTGTGTTTTTTTCTAGAAATCTTTTTTTCTGTACAGTTTCTCGCTGTTATTGTTAATAAAGGACAGAAATAAACAAAAGTATCATATGACTATATTAAATTAAAAACATTTATGTTTTTTTTTAAAGCGGCACGAAGGCCTATTGTATGCAAATTACGGTATACAGCCTATTTTTAGGTGTTACTGCAACAAAATTAACTTATACTTTAAATGTGTTTATCTATAATTATGTCTTGCAAACCGCAAATAATTGTAACGTTTTTGGTTTAATTCCACTGGGTATTTTGTATTTAAAATTACAAAATTGTAGTAATCATTTTTAATATTCGGACAAGTTCTTTCTTAACATTTATATCACATGTTTGACTTTAAAAATAATATTTTGTATAATTCGTGTTAATAATGATTTTAAAATAAACATGTATTTAATATTATGAATATAAATTGATAAGTCATCCATTTAAAATTCAAACAATCCCTAACTTCATTCATGACACCTTTCATACTTTTTCAGATTTGTTTAATAATGGAGGCATCAAAAACTAATAGGATCTTATTTTAAAAATCATCTATTAGTTTTATGAAATTTTATTTTCAACAGTTCTTTCTTGTCAATAAACAATTCATTTGCATTTTTTATAACTAGTAGAAACACCCACCATTATTACTTATTTTCTTTTATCTTTCATTTCAGGAACACGAAAGCTAGCAACAGTTAGAAGATCTTCTCTTAATTTGCTGGATAATCTTCAAAGCTGTTTTGCTGGTAAATATTTACTTTACCATGTTGTAAATTTTAGGGAGGCCAGTTATTTCTTCAGGCTTTTGTTTTGTTTTGCTTATTAAACATGACATACCTCCAAAATTAAAACTTATGTTTAATTAAGTGTAAATAGTATATTAATGTTGTATTCAACTTGCTTATGTGTGTATTTTTGGTGCATTGCCAAAGCGGTTTGTCTGAAATAGTGTTGTACTACAAAACTTTAGTTTGGATTATGATTCAAAATGTAATAAGATGACTGGTTCCTTTTTAAAATTATGATATGTAAATTCATTCTGCTTCACTAATGCTGTTATTAATTATTCAGTATTATTAAAACATACCTAACAGAATATCACTACCCAAAAATATCAAAATATCCTTGTGCGCTATTTTGACATTTGACTGATAATATAATATAATTATATTGTTTTATTTCATTCATAATTTTGGTATATTTTAATAGTTAAGTAACAAAATCGAATTCGATCAATAGATGAATTGAATTTGAGGAATGTTTTAACTAAAATTAAATTTACTTATTTTTAAATGTAGTTATACATATATTTTTTTATTTTTTTACAGACCATGTTGAGGCATATTTGTTGATTAAGTCGACATTTGACAAATTTTCAACGGAACTCGAAACTGATTCTGACCCAGGAGTCAGGTCTCGTGCCATTGACATTAGAGAGAAGTTCAAGGAAAGAGCCCTTATATAATGAGCCTGTAAAATATTTTGTGATGTATATTAACAGCTTTAATCCTATGTACGAACAATATATTACGACTACAACCAGTTATAGATCCCCTACTGATCCCAGCCTGTTATATTTTTTACTTAAATGTTGTCTGTGATTCCTGTGAATAAAATTTTACCTGCAAAAGCTTTTTAAATTCTTTTCATTCTTTTATATATACAAAAACACACATATGAACTTCAATAATTGTCTTTTTCCCCTTTTATGATTTTTATAGTTATTTATTTGTAGTTTTAAAAAACATATTTTTTTAATATTAATAAATAAAATTTTAAATTAATTATAAAATGCCAACTGCTTTTTATTCAAATAAAATTATTATTTTTGAATTTACTTGGATATTGGAGGTATCTCTTTCTTATGAGATTGATGTTCATTCACTAGTAGCAAGAATAAATATTAGATGTCAGGTCTATTTTCATCCAAGTTGATGATATCCAAAACTTAGTTGTTGGATGCAGTCAAGTAACATACATAATTTGTGCAAATTATATTTAATGTTTAGTTATATTTTTTATGTGTGGTGCCTTATTATTATTTATTTTTGGTGAGACAAAAATCATTTGAAGAATAAATATATTTATTGGTTGTCTACATTTCGACCTATGTTGTGTGTCATCAGTGATGTTTGGGTAAGAGAGAAAACAGTTGTCTCTCTTCCCCCAACATCACAGGACAACCCTGATGAAGACTTACAATGTAGGTTGAAATGTAAGCAATAAAGAATTATAATTCCCAATTATTACCTGTGTGACTTTAGACCGCACATAATATAATTTAATTTTACTTACAAGAAGTCAAAATTTACTAATAAAAATGTAGCTATGATCTTAAGAGGCAAAGATATAAAAAAAAAAATTGAATTATTTAGAAAATTTTTGATGTATTGGATAATGTAAGTATAACAAACAATTGCATCTTTAGTTCATTTTTAACAATTTCAGATAATAAATACTGATAGTAATTACAGAAATTGCAATTTTTACAAACTTCTTTTTTGTAAAAGATGGGTCAATCTACCGTAAACTTCAAATATAACCACCATACAATGGTAAAACAATTATTTATAATAATAACTTATTATTATCACATTATTAGAATTTAAATATTCAATAAATAGTCATAATAAATGTACAGGTAATAGAATAAGAATAGGAGCTATATACAGATATACAACTATGTACAGAAATTATATAAATATAGTTATAAAAAATTTTCCTTTTGAAAAGGCAAATAATTTCAACAGTAATTTTTTAATCTCTTAAGGTACTAATAGGAATAAATTATATATCTTACACTATTAGTTAAATAGTTATTTAAAAGTTTTCTTTAAAATTTACTCCAACGGTGAAAATGCTATTGAAGCAATAGATCTCTTAGTTCGTAACCAACATGTTAATTAAAATTACAGATTGTTTAACAATCATATAAAAACAAAACAACGTCAATCGTCTGTTAGGACTGATTGATATACAAATCATACAACAATATACAAACATAACCCAGGAACAAAATAAATAACGCTTCAACTTTTTCTTAGGTCGTAGATGAAAACCATGGATCATAATGACATGGTCAGTCTTACTTCACTAAGTTGGGCAAAAATTTATATCCCTTTTTAACCCTCAATTGCATCACAGGTAAAATACTCTCGTCAAATAACTACAAATTAAACATACATAGATATCTTTGAATGGTTGACACTTCCATTTACTGACGGCATCACAGATATGTTTTGCAAATGGGACTTCTCTTCTATTCGAGCATCGTACTTTGCCTGAAACAAGTAATTGTATTATAAATCTAATTTTTAGTTTAATACTGTCAATAACTTAACAATATTTTATATGAACATTAATTTTAAAGTTAATTAGTAATAAGAAATTAAAATCAATTGCACACAAAAAGATAGGGAGGATCCATTGATCATCAGAATATTTTATCAAAATAATAGATAGATAGATAGAAGAATCAACTTTATTCTGGGACTACGTCCCTTGAGAATAACAATATTGTACATAAAATTAAACATTACATCTGGCCAAAATGTATATTACAATAAACAAAAACAAACAAACAAACAAAAAAAAAACAACTAAAAAATAAGGGATAAAAGAAGTGTTTACATAACTGTACAGATATTGGAAGCCATAATATGAGAAATAATGTCCTAATACTGCAAAATAGTTGCTATACACAATACGCTATGAAATTATAAATGAGCGACAGATAATAATAAAGATGTTATAGTAATAGTAGTATGTTCGTAGAACATAATAGTATAATCGAAATACAATAATAGTGTAATCGTACATACACAATATATACACCCAATAATACAATAATAGTGAGAATACAATAATAGTACAATAGTATATATACTATATACATATATTAATATATATATACATATACATACATACACATATACATACATACAATGCAACAATAGTATAATAATACAATATAGGCTACCCAGCGTCTGATTGAATTGTAAGGAGGAATTGGAAAAGGAGGGTTTTAAATGTGGATAAGGATGGTGCATGGCGGATTTTAAGTGGGATGGAATTCCAAAATGTGGTGGATCGGACAATAAAGGAGTGTTGAAATGAGGTCGATTTGTGGAAAGGGGTATAAAGGTCGGAAGGACGAGATCTTGTGGAGAGGGAGTGGATAGATGACTTGAATTGAAGGAGATTGAATGCGTATGACGGACGATGATTATAGATTATTTGGTAAAGGAATGTACCTAGGAAGTACTGTCTTCTGAAGGAGGGGAAGAGCCACCCTGACTCGGCGTAGTAGTGGGAAACATGAGAACGTCTCGGGGTCCCATTGACAAATCGTACTAAGCCATTCATTATTCTTTTCAGTCTGACTCCAAGTTCCGATGAGAGGCCACCGTACACTACACAGCCGTAGTCAATGTGGGGGAAGATGAGGGCGGATACTAGGAGTCTACGTGTGGATATGGGTAGGAGATGGCGGAAGCGATGGAAGAGTTTCAGGATGGAAATTGAACGTCGGGATATGAGGGAAATATGGTGATTCCAGGAGAGGGTTTGATCTATGATAACACCTAAGTTTTTAACTGAAATGTTGAAGGTGATGGGTTGGTCATTCAGGTACAGGAGAGGAATGTTGGTATTTGATCTGAGAAGGGGTTTGGAACCGAGGACAATGGCTTGGGTTTTAGCAACGTTTAACCTTAATCCATTTTCACTTGCCCAGGCACAAATCCGATTTAGGTCTTCTTGTATTTTGGCAAACGCATCATGCCATTCAGAGGGAGCGAAGGAGAGGTAAATTTGGGAATCATCGGCATAAAGGTGATGTGAACAGTGAAGGATTGATTTATGAAGGTCGTTAATATATGAACTAAAAAGGAGAGGAGATATGCTGGAGCCCTGTGCCACTCCTGAGGACAGAGTTAGATAGGATGATAAAGGTTGGTTCGGGATAGAGACTGCTTGGGTACGTTGAGAGAGGAATGATTGAAACCAAAGGATAGAGCTGTTGGAAAAGGATAACGATTTCAATTTGGAGAAAAGGATGGAATGGTTAATGGTATCAAAGGCTTTGGAAAAGTCCAGGAGGATAAGGACCGTTAGTTTTTTATCATATATGGCTGACTGAACATCACTAACGATTTTGATTAGGGCGGATTGTGTGGAGTAGCCTGGTCGAAAACCAGACTGGTAAGGGTCAAGTTGATTGGATTGTTCTAGGAAGTTGGAAATTTGGGATTGGACTATTCGTTCTAGAGGTTTTGCAAGGTTAGACAGAATTGAAATTGGACGGTAATCTTCAGGGGAAGAAGGGTTAGGATTTTTAAGTAAAGGACGGACAATGGCTTTTTTCCATGAGGAAGGGAATATTGCGTTCTGAAGGGAGAAATTGTAGATGAAAAGTAGAGCGGGATGGATTTCAGGTAGGCATAATTTGATTAAGTTGACGGGAATACCATCTGGACCAATGGAATTGGAATGAGATTTCATGACGGCGGATATGAGGTCTGTAGGAGAAATATCTGAAAAATAAAAGTTGTCGTCGTTAAATGATATTCCAGGAGTAAAGAAGGAAAAGGTTGATGGAGGAATGCAGGAGGAAGCTGATATAAAATATGAATTTAAATCATCAGGTTTGACTGGAAAGGCTGCTGAGGAAGGTGATCTGGAAGAGTCACAGAGGGAGAGTTTACGAAGGAGTTGCCATTTGGTTTTGGAATCAGGAGCTGCTGAAAGGGCTTCGTGGAAATAGGAGGATTTGGCTCTTCGGATATTGGTTTGTGTCAGGTTACGGAGCACCCTAAACGCTTGGTAGTCGTCAGCGAGTCTAGTGCGTCTAAAGCGTCTGCGGGCTGCATCGCGTCTCTTCTGAAGATCTTTAATTTGTTTCATTAATAATACATTAATGAAACAAACAAACAAAATTAATATTTCATCCTTTCAACAATACACGACTTTATTCACATAGAGAAAACGATAAAATCAAAAACAAAACATTAAAAATCTTATGGAAGGATTGTATGTCCCGGAGAAGCTTTTCGTGGTTAGGTTTGTTTCCAAGTTATGAATGTATATTACAGGAGTCTCAGTTGTATTCTCTGACTTTACCATACCCTAAATTAAATTCTCAAATACAGAAGAATTTGGAAAGGAAGGGATAACTGATAACCCAAATATCAGTAATGATCAGTTGAATCAACTTAATTGGTGAGAACAGTAGTTGCTATGAAAACCAGCGAGTTGTGTGAAACAAAGCCCAAATTATGTTTAATTTTAAATATTTTTTTAAAGGAAATAAAAAGGGTCCGCTTGATTTAATTAAAGAAAGACACTCTTTTTGTTCAGAGTGAGAAACATCCTTGATGTTTTCATTAAAACTATCAATACTTTGATAAATATTATACACGCTGTATTTTACTATTACCCATTGTAGATTTTAAAAAACGGTATTTTCCACATTCCATAGTTGATAGGAACCAGAACCAGTTAGACTACTTGGTAGTCAGCAAAAAATTTCACTGAACAGGCCAGCATCTGGACCATGTTCCTCCATAGAGGAAGCAGAGAGTCAGAAATACCAAGAACTTTTCATATTGGCTCTAACATTTTTATATGCTACCTGGGCTTTAATTTATAAAAAGATTTTTTTCCATTATGCTGCCACAAAAATGGATAATTAACTAGACCAATATCATTAGTACAGAATAATCCTTTACTTATATTACTTAGAGGGAATGAAACCTTGAAACTTGCAAAGACAAAAACAAAACAAAAAGTGAAGGAACTTTATAGTGAATTGTGAAAGTTTGTATCAAGAAAATAAATTTTAAAAACAGAGGAGTTATAGTGGAATTTAATATTTTAGTTTTAATGTCAATATTGCTTTCATATGAAAAAACATTTGAAATAACATAATTCAGACATTGATACAAATGTTTACTTTCTCACAAAGTGAATGAAAAGTTTTTAATACCTTGTTATAAGCTAGGACTCCAGCAGCTGCTACAGTCATACCAAGGAGATTCAGAGCTGATACAGGATTCCCCAATATGAGAAGTGACGCACTGATTATTGCTAATCTCTTGGTTCCGGATGCAACAGCATAGGTCAGAGGACTAACCATCGACATAACAGAGAATGCCAGGAGATTCTGCAGCCAACTTAAGGCCCCATCAGCTAACAGCAGTATCCACTTTCCATCGATCAACTGTAACAAATAGTTCATAAAATACTTAATAACCAATGAAGTCAACAACTTTTGACTCATATTCATACATAATATACATTCTACAATGATTATTTATGTTTACTGACTCAAAAATTACCATAATTGGTGAGATTTAAAATAATTTTAAAACATTTTTATGTTGATAAAATTTATAGTTCATTTTGAAATCACTAATACAGACAACAGCACTTAACATTTACACGTTTGAGCTTTTTATAGTTTAAAAATAAATATATTGTCGATATAAAAAAATTAAAATGTAAGTAACTAAAAGTTTTTATACTTTTTTTCTACTTGAAAATTTAAGAACGGTAGACATGCTGGAAAAATTGGCAATAGCTAGAATAACAATATATTTACTGATTTTTGAGGTACAGAAGTGAGAATTTCAACTTACAAGATAAAACAAAACATTCCAGATTTCTTTTAAAGTTGCTTGAACAATGACAAATTAAAGTTTTAATGGATTGGAAACAAGTTAGAGACTAATAAATTTTATTCAGAACAATTTTGAGTTTCCTTCTATTTTTTACAATTAACAATATTACAGTTAATAATTATCATTAAACTTATGATATATATATATATATATATATATATATCATATATATATATATATATATATATATATATATATATATATATCATATATATATATATATATATATATATATATATATATATATATATATATATATATATATATTATCTAAATGATAAAAATGCATACTATCTTTGATTCATGTATGACACTGCTGAGATCAAACCAACACCAAAAAGGCAGAAAGATCATCATGGACAATCTTCCAAGCAAATGTAACAGCCGTAAATGATGAAGACCAATATCTTTTAAAACCTGGAACGTTAACAATAAAAAACATTATTTATGAAATAGAAGAGGAGATATGATGTTAATTACAATGAATAACAGCTAGTTTTTGAATCATGAGTAGCAGCAATTCTGCACGAGTCAATTTTTATGAAAACTACAGGTACTCCAGTGAATCTAGCGAAGCTAATTCAAATACTGCCTGGACGGATTGAAATTTATTTTTTGTGAGACCCAAGGTATGAATCTAGACCTTTACATTATAGTTAGAAATGGTTTAGTTTTACATCTAGAACAACCCTCCCGTTTGCCATAAATGACGAGGTAGGGAGGTAATCGAATAAAAAATTAAATTAAATAAGGCAAGGGAACTAGTTTTGAAAGTGGAACTGGTGGATTTTATTGCAAAAGCCTGATGGCTACTTAAAAGGTTGCTGCCTGCCAGGATCGCAGAGAAATGAATGTTAGCTAGCCTAGGTATGAATCAAACACACACCTTTCAGGGGCGGGGGCTGAGGAACCTTCATCACAACAAACTTGGTCACCACGATAAGAAATGACTAAATAATTGTTTCAATACTATGATAAAATAAAGTTTTGAAAAAAAATTAATGACCCTGTTAACAGCTGTTCCAAATTTTGCACAATGTTATTTATAAACTTGCAGAAAATTTAATTTTTTTAAACATTAGCAATATCTTTTTGCTTAAAATGCACTGAAAATGAATCACAGTGCAAAAATTGAAAGAAGGGCTTTTTCTAAGTGGTTCTTTCAAAACAGCAGAAAACACTTAAAGGGTTAGGAAGTTAAAAAATTGGAATTATAACGAGGGTATCAATATATACAATGTATCAGAAAATCGAAATCAACAGAGAATTTCTTATATAACCAAATTATTATTTAAACTTCAACTTTATGATCGATAACATTGAAAATTACCTTTTTCGAAAAGATGTTTTGAAGAGAATGCTGTAATGTAGCTGCAAGTGCACTGAGCAGCCCTAGCAAGTCAAATGAGATTTCTGTCATGGATGCTAAACCAACTCCTAAGATTATCGGCACTAAAGACATGTAAACCTGCATGAAACAGAAGGCAAATAAATTCTAGTCACAGATGGTAGCAAATATTTTACTTATAAATATACATATATAAAACAGGCGTACGACACATATCATTGGTTTAAATAACATCCAACAAGAATTTACAGTAAAAAATTATGTGGAAAATGATGTTTAGGTGGCCTAGTCTTCTTAAAATCAGCAGGTTGGCCAAGATTTTATAAATTTCAGTAATTCTGCCTAAAAAAGAATCTGTTTCTGGTCAATTATCATTTTTGAGTATTGCTTACATTTTGTACCAATTTAACATTCCAAAGTTCACTAGTAACATGAAAGGTCACTACGGATCTGTGAGATCCACTTCAATAAACCAAATTATTGATCAAAAATACCTACAAATTTCTCATAGTACTCTAAAAGTAAAAGATATAAGATGAGTTTTTAAATATATTTATTGAGCAACACAGTAACATAATTTTAAAAAATATTAAAAATCAAAACGAATAATAGGTTGGCAAAATTAAGAACTTGAAACATTAAATTCTGTATATCATTAAATACGAACACAAATATCACTGAATACTAAGAGCAATTATAATAGGATTAAATTAGATCCAAAAAAAAATTAATACAAACAGCACAACATGGACATTAGCCTCTAAAGGCTTACAATTTTTCATATATAGTCACGTCTGCTCCAACTGAATAACAAGATTGGCAGTTTCTGTCAAACTTCAACTATGTGCCTCATAGGTCTATTTCTTTACGGTGTTGACATGTTTCTCGACAGTCAAATCTTAAGGATAAAAGTTAAAAATCTAAACCTTTCAATCATAGTGAGATGAAATATTTCAATTCCAAACTTGGACTCAATTGTATGCATTGCTGCAATATAGAACAGCTCAATTAAGGCATTGATTTCAATTATATCAGTTATCATTGTTTCTCTTTCCTCTAAAAAATTTCAACATACATAGTCAATCTTTAAGTTTTGGCCCCCACTCCACCGCTGGATTGTAAGACTCCAAGAATCAAGAGAATACGTGGGCAGGAGGGCCACCCCAGGTTCCAGGGTCCTCCTATCCCAAGCGGTATAAAAATACATCAAATAGTCTGCTCAACGGATTTCACAGATCAGGTGCAAGATTTGGAGTGTTAAATCTATCTGTCATAATCTGCAGTCACAAGGTATAAGTCTGAAAGTAAGAATCTGTCCTTTATCCTTATCAAATCTGCCATTTACCATGATGTTAAATTGTTTTAAGTAATATTTTGTATGTTGTATATTGTCGGAAATAGTGGCAGCGTGTATTTTATTTGTTTATGATTGTATAATGTTTTTGTGAGATGTATTTCTGAAGACTGGATGATTTGGTTAAATTGTTCCACTTATCAATCAGCTAATTGGTTACTAACATTTTGATATGATAAATAGTCTCATAGAGATCAATACCTCCTGCCTGCTGCCTCTCTAGGTAAATGGTCAGCTCTTTCATTGTCCTCAGTCCTTTCATCCACTTTATTTCCACTGATTTTTTAAAATTCAGTAGTTAAAGTATGACTATTCTAATTTCATCAATCAGTAGGATGTGAATATTTGTGTGATTTAGTGAACGCTGTTTCTTTGTATAGGTATATTTGAGTGCGCCTTACAATATAAATGTGTTTGTCTGTGAAAGTATATGAATGTATGATTTAGGATATCAATTATTCCAACAAGAATAATAATAGCATCATATGAGAGCTTATTGAAGCCTTTTTATACTTCAATTGTCCGGTATTAATATCAATTTTAATAAATTAAGAAACCTTTTTTTATTCATACGAATTTAATATGTTATAATAATAAATGATAATTAAAATATATTGAAGATTAGAAAATTTAAGGGAGGTCATGAAGAAGCTTAATGTTATTTATTTTTTTTTAATGAAATATTTGATTATTACTCACCTTAAATGTTTGCTTTTCTCCTAAAATTAACCTTGACAGGACGACAGTAAAAAGGGGCATGGTAGCTTTAACTGTAAACAGAAAGAGATAACCTTATCAGTCAACCAAGGAAGGCTACAGTCTTCAGTTGTTAGCCCAGCTAATAATTGTTTATAAATATTTCAAGGATAAGTTCTAAATTTCAAGTGAATATCTATAATATCTAGGTTTCAAAAAGTAGATTACGTTTGAGTAATGCCACTTTTAACTTACGCAATCGCTTTCACTTTCAACTGTAACAGTTTAAGTGATAGCCAATTTTGCTAATCCCTAGTTAAGCCATTTGTTGAATTATTCGCTCAGGACTAATAGAAGCTATAAAAGGCACTTATTGTGTAACAAGGGATTTCTATGATTGAGAAATTTTGAACAATATGGTAGACTTACCGGTATGAGTATAAGAGACAGGTACTTTCCATAGGCTGACATGAGTAAAGACAGACCCCATCACCTTACCGATGGCCAAGGGGACCAATATCTTCATGTAGTACTTCCATCCGATGTCTATCTGCCTCCGGACACCCCACAACTTGAGGACTGGCCCGGAGTACACAGTTATCGAAAGCAGTTGGACCATAGTCACTGTCATAGGGTAAGGGAAGTCGTTCAGTAACATTTTCCCTATCACATTGTTCGAAGAACCCACCACGTACCATAATAAACACAATATAAGTACCGTTAAACCTTCTCGAACTTGCCTCGGGTCCGCCATGCTGGCAAGACGGATCCGACTGACTGACTCGTTCGGGACTGTCGAACCTCCCCCTCCTCTTTTACATGACTTCTTATTTATTTTTTATATTGATACAATATGTAAAGCTTTTAATTAGCAATTAACATTTTTTGTACAGAATTCAATAAAATTGAGATGATGTAATACGCTCTACATCATTGTTTTTCAAGGATTTTTACTCTTTATTTTCTTTTTTTTAAATTTAAATGGTCAACGTTTGGTACGCTATTTAAGCATTAAGACTCGTTATTAATTTGGAATATTTTTCCTATTTCAAAGTAACATAATTACAAACAATTCTTTTTAATGAAAAATTACTAAAAACTTAAGATTATATTTCTACCGTTTCTTCAATTTTTTTATTTGTCAATTATTGAAATAAATTGACTTGTTTGTATTTTATTGTTTAGAAAATCTGGGGATATTCAGCTTTATTATTAATTACTGTAAAATGTCGTATTTTTAATTACTTTTGTATATTGATCTAACTTAAATTTATTAAAAACTAAAAATATTATAATCTTTTCTAAAATTAAAATGTATTATTGAAGAAAACAGTGCTGGTCTTAGGGCGAGACAACTCGGGGAGATTGCCCCTGGGTGCTGACCTCGAGGGGCGCCGGTCAATCATAAGGGGCGCTGAATCAGAAATTTAAAAAAAATACAAAGCGTATCAAAATAATCAAATTTAGCCTATTAATATAACAAGTATACTAGAGAAATAGTGAATGAAATAAAATTCGAATACTAAATAATATAAAATAGCTTAAGAAATGAATTTGATTTTTTTGGGAGGTGGGGAGGGGATATGACGTCATTGCCCGGGGGCGCCGCATGTCTAAGGCCAGCCAGCACTGTAAGAAAGTTAGTCGACGATAAATGGTCTTAAAATGAAAGGCAACAACAATAAAAATCTTAAAATGACTGCGGCCTGACTATTAATCACCTATGAAAAACAAAAATTAAAATGGTTTTCGGCTGAAGCTCCCCAAAATTAAAAAATCTGTATTTTTTTTATTGCCATTCATTTTTTTCTGGGTGTATTCTGAGCTTAATATGTCCTTTTTAGGTTTTTAAATTATAAGCCATAGATCTGTCTCGTCTATGGATAGTGTGTGAATTATTATGGGTATCACCATAAAGCAATTTATTATATTTTTCTTTTTGTCTAATGGGCTAAGTTATGCGGATATTATGGAAATGAATATTCCTCTTGAATCATTGCTTGAAACTCGAAAATTGAACTTGCACCTGCTGAAAATAGTAAAATTTCAATTGTGTTTTCCCGAAAATCTGATATTTGCACTTAACACACTATACATGTGTGTCACAGATAGATACTGCTACTATATGTAATAAGGTGTTAAAAAAAAATATCACTAAAACGGTTATTCTAATTACCGATTTAAAAAAAAAAATACAATATAACGTTTAGTTGATAACTATATTACTAGTGCCCTGCGCAAATAATTCGCATTGTACATTGGTCAGTGAATAAATGGCAACATAGTTTGGAAATTAATAAATTCAATCCATTATAAGAGGGATATATTAATTATTTTATCCTTTGTATTAACTTCGGTTCGCACCAAATAATAATCCAAAACATGTGTATAACATACAATTGTCTTTGTCTTTGCAAAATGCGCTTCGATTATTATTATGATGGTTTTTTTTTTTATTTGCTTTGTTGAAAATTTGAAAATCTCTCAAACTGTATGTCCTATAGAGCACCATTAGTTGTTTTCTTTCTGAATAATGTGAAAATAAAATTTCCTTTTCTTCATAATTTTTTTCATGTTTTTTTCTGAGGGATATGCTTATTTTTACCATCTATAAGATAAGATAATATTCAAAATGATGGCCCAGTATCAACTCAATCAATAGAATAAACTTAATGGATAACAATTGTTACAAAAAATCAACAGATTTCTTTTTGTCACTTACCGAAACAATTTTTCTAAATATATATTCCATGGATCACCCAACTTTAAACGTTATGGAGACTAATAAACATAAGCAAATTCGATTATTAAATTATCTTATATTTCGCCAGTTGTCGTCTATAAAACTATCGAAGTAATTGATAATTCAATTTTGTGACGTCTAAAGCTGTTTGAGAAACTAAATATACTCGTTATTATATTTAATAATTAATTTAATTATACTCAATTTGGAATAAACTTAATGAATTTACTAAAAATAGTACTAGGTAAGAGTAGTTAATATTATTACAGATTTAGATTGATTTTGAAAAAAAGCTAAAGCCGTATGATTTATCAAACAAAAAATGGTAGATCTAATATTAATAACGTTCCGCCTCATCGTCTGGTCTAATAGAACATAAAATGAAAGTTTTTCTAAGTAGCCAAAGTTCAACTTTTTTAAGTTGTAAAGGCATTGTCCCGCCTTCATCGATATTGCCTTTTGTTCTGTTGAATAGTGTCAGCGGAAGGCGCTTGGAGTTCATCGAATAGGTTCTGCCAAGGTGATCGAACTGACCTCTTTTTCGCAAATGACTGATTGGAACAGAGGTTCAACTTTATCGCTGCCTGACTAGTATCATTTCAAGTAAATTTTATTCAAATAAATTTCATTTAAATCTCGCCTGACTCAACTCTCACAACTTCGCAAGAGGAGAAAAAAAACAACTAATTTCTTCGATAATGATCTCCTTTTTATAATTTTTAGCCTACTTCAACCTCAAATCACAGGCGCCGACTTTCCATTTTGTTTGGGAGGGGGAGGCGATGGACCAAAACAAAAAAAATATGCCGGGTTAAAACGTAAAACAAAAAAGTTAATATTATTTTTAAAAATTATGTAAAATGATAATTGTATAAAATCAGCATAATTATTGAGAAAAGAACAATATAATACTGCATATTGAAAAATGAGTTTATATAAATGTTTACATATTTGTATTTTCTGCATTTGTATATATTTAGAAATATGAGAACAAAGCAATCGGATATATAGTCGGTTTATTGCAAAATTCACTGAAAGTAAGAACACACAAGTACATTTTCGATGAAACTAAACATGCACCAAAATGACTCAAACCTTTATATATATATATATATATATATATATATATATATATATATATATATATTAAATATAAATATTTTATATTATATATTATTAAATATTGTAACAATAAGTGCACAATTTCTAACTTCACTGAGGGATAGTTGATCAAAGTATGACGTGATTTAATTTTATGAAATTTCGCTTAATGATTGCTTAATAGTCTGATTAACTATTTAAAAATGTTGATAAAAAGCATTCTTTATAAAATATATTTATACAATGTTAACAATAAAAGTATGACATCTACAATACCTTGTTAAGCCCTAAATGTACAAAAAACAGATTGAATACTAGCTGATGTATATGAGACATCAAAGTTCCATTCAGGTCATAAAAAGCTATGTTGATTTGACCAAATCCTGAATATAATCAAACTCGATCAAGGACTAAAAGGAATCAACAAAATAATTTATCCAGCGGTCCAAAAAAAGAGGTATGGAACACAATTCAAAATTGAGCAGAAAAATAAATTTGAATTCTAAGTCTCACTTAGAGGGCTCTAAGGTTGACCAACAATAGAAGGTATTAGAGGTAGGATTAAATAAAGAAACAAAATTAAACAGATAAGAAAGTAATGTATATTAAGGAAAAACAAAATGATAGGAATTGGTCCCTGGAAAGACCTCTGAGAAAAGAAGAACAATGATTCCCTGCCTCGCTAATGCTGATCAAACTACTCTGGAAGAAGATCAATTACAGATTCTCAATAATAATTTCTAATAATAATTTTAAAAAAAACCTATAGTAATTTCTCAAGGTACTATTGCAAACCATTGAAGGCAGGCTGGAATTATATTCAAATTTCAGGCTGGAATCTGGAAAGAAGTGTAAGATAGGAAGCGAGAAACGCGTGAATTAGAGGAAAATATGGTAAACTGACAGTATCAAAGATACTAATAAATTAATCATTCTGAAGAAGTGCTGTTAGATTGTGGTTATTACTGAGGCCGGACGCTCTTTCCGATAGCTGTATTATATACTATAATACAGGAAAATATATTAGGAGATCATCAACAAGGATTCAGAAAGGAGTGATACATAACAGTTTTTTAAAAACGAAAAAACTAAGCAAGTGTATCCATTATTTGTTATTATAACAGCTTAGGTTTCTTTGGAGAGAACCTACCTTTGGAAGATTATGACTGAACTAATAATTGATGATATTAAGGAAAGGAAAATCATCTAAAATATGGAAATAATATGATACAAGAAGTATCTGAAGTCTTCAAAGTTTGAAGCAGGGAGATGAACCCCTTCTGATGCTGTTTAACTTTGGCGTGGAACATGTGATAACATTATGTTAAAATAGAGGGGTGCACATGAAGTGCACAAAATCCTTGGATATATTTCATAATAATATCTCTGAATATAAATGAAAATTTAATTGATAAGATATTTAGATCATAGTATAATACTTAAGTATCTACTTCGAGTCATTAGTTAGCACTGCCAACTTTTCTTAATCGATTCTAGTTTATGTACCTATTTTATTTATTCATGTGGATTATTTGTTATTGGTTTTTAAATTATTGGGAGACCATATGATATGCACGCCCCCTTTCTTTTTACTTTCACTTACGTATATGTGTAATATATAGTAAGTGTGAGTATTGCAATCATGAAAATTTTTGAATCTGAGTTTTCAACGGAAATACACGTTTTGGGCTACCCTGAGTCCAAATAACCAAGTCCCGAAAAATGGTCATTGTGTCTGTGTGTCTATATGTCGGTGTGTTTGTATGTTAGCAACCTGGCTCAAAAACGAAAAGTCATGCGAAACTGATTTTATGTATTTAAGATAGGTATATGCCATAGACGTGACAGCAACTTTTATCTTTAAGTCGGCTAACCGGAAGTGGCACTTTATATCAACGCTGAAACACACTTTTACAATTTTCTCAAAAACGGC